CGATGTCGGGCATCGACTCGATAATGCTTTGGAGAAGATCGAACACTAGAGCCGCAACCGCCTCGTGTTGGTGGAGGCGTTGCAAGATTGACCAGAAATCGGGGGAGATTGTGATCTCGTTTCGGAGGAGACCGGTGTGGCTAATGCATCTAGCAAGGCCCTTCACTGTTGGAGTCGCAACAGTTTCGAGGATATCCTGATCGAATCCAGAGATGGCATGAAGCACGACAGGTACCCGCATGAAGTGTTGGTCCTGGGAAAGGGTCAGTGAGAAAAGAAACCAAGGCAACAGCGTACTGGACAGTACATACATGGCTCAGTCGCAGAAGATTGAGAAGATAAGAAACGACGCGGGACACGGTTAGTGGATGAAGATTCTTTGCATCGCGCACTAGTGTTTGAAGAGTCGTTGCCAGATTTTCACCTAGAACCTCTAGTGTCTTGTCGTCACGAAGAGCGAGCACGGTGGCTAACTCCAAGACAAATATCATCGAGGGATCATATTTTGGCGAGTTGGGATCCACTCTATTGCTTGAAATTCTTGATGTAGGTGATGGGCGTTCAGGTTTAACGACAATTACTGCCGGTGCGTTCTCCTCGGGGAGCTGAGACAGCAAAGCTTCCATGAGCATCTCCAGTGAAGATAGAGGGAGAGATTTGAGATTTGATAAAATTTCGGGTATCGAGCATGCCGTCACACAATCCACTGTGCAGAGCGTGTTGTCAAGTTCCTCATCTGAAGGTTCAGGAGGATCATCTGCCGCATAGCTTGAAAGATAAGACGTGAATGCCGACAAAATTCCCGAATCGTTGTTGCGCCCATCGCGATCAACCACTTGTGATGGAGGCTGCAGGGGGATTGGAGAAATATCAAGCTCGGATGTGAGTTCGGCATCGAATGGCGGGGTGAGTGAGTTGATGAACAAGTTACTCAAGATGCGAACAATATGCTCCCAACCTTGTTTGACAGTGGCTTCATTGCCCGATAGGACTCGGAAAAGTACCACTGTTGCCAATTGAGCTCTGAAATCCCTGCCGAACTTGACGGCAAGCTCGCTCACCATCACGCTCTTTTGGCCTGCCTGGACCTCCGTGTTAAGGGCTGTGCTTGGAGGTTTAGCAGTGGCCAGAGTGCTGATCGACGCAAGCGAGAAGACGATGCGGTCGAATGCCTCAGTTAGGTCATATCGAGCGGCGATCTGGGCACACTGGTCGAAGCCATTGACAACGCGAGAATACACTGCATCGTCCGATGCAGACATGAAAACATATGAAAGAGTTGAAATCACTGGTTTCCACGTTGCTTGGAACATTTCGGCGTCATACACGTTGGTTTCGCCAGTTACAACCTCACCGGTGGATGAAGATTTCAGCAACAGCTCCTTCCAAGCATAATCAAACGCATGCTTGTTCTCGTGCTCGTCGGGAAGAATGATCTCGTTATTCTTTATGGAATCGTAGATCTCCTGTAGGAATTCCTCTGCGAAATCCCCACCTCCATTCACACCCCGCAAGTTTCTGGCGAAACCGGTGCAGGTCATGCGGTTTTGTGACTTGACATTAGGATTGTAGAGTTCTGTGTTCAGCATGATAATGGCGTAAGTCAAGATATAAAGTGCATCTTTGTCGGCAATACCGGCGGGTTTCACTTTTTCCATGTAGTGCTCTGCAAAAGTCGTGACGATTCGCTCAATAAGTGGCGACTCGCCGGGAAGACGGAATGAACTGAGGAGCTCTCGAAGTGCCTCCACCGCATTGCGTCCCGAAAAGTCAAGGAGATCCACAAAGGCACCCAAGAGTTCCTCGTTGTCACGTTTAGAGATGTACTCTCCGAGAACCTTCTTCGACAACCGTGAGGTTCCCTTCAAGAAGCGGGCCACCAACACCGGGTTCTTGGGGTCCTCGATAACGCCATGACTCGCAAGGAAGGCAATTCCCTTCTTGGGCTCCTCATTAAAGATTTGTGCGCCCTTGATGATGATCTTCTTTGTCTGGCGTTGATCTTTCAAGCGCTCTTGCGGAGGATAGTCTCCTTGGACTGGTTCGTCATCCAATCGGTCGTAAATGAACTGTACATAGCCTAAGAGAGCATCCAGGCACAGCGGGGGTACATTTGTCGTGCTCCAAGTTGCAGAGTCCGGGAAAGCATTGCGAGAAAGTAATCCAATCATGTCCTCACACAAATCGGCTCGGTCCACTTCGCAGTCGTAGTTGACGAAAAGCTCAACCATGAAGCTAGGTATCCGGGACAAAACACCAATGCTTTCTACCATGGCTTCTCGGGCTTCAGGCCTCCTTGAACCACCTTCAAGTCCTAGCTTTTGTCGGTCCTTGACGGGAACAGGCGTAGACCTGCCGCTGTTCGCCTGTGAGGCCGGTTGTTTGACGAGTTTTGGTGATTGCGGAATGCCTTCATATAGCGAGGGGTCAATCCCAGGTTCACGAGGGATTTCCACTCGAGGGTGAAGGCAGGCCACAAGGTATGAAATATAAAGTTCTTGCTGCAGTTTCAATACGGGTCTGCAAGTAGACAGCAAGGTACCGGCAACTCGCAGGGAGCTCGTAAGAATAGCTATTTGTTCAGACCTGACCAATTGGAAGAGGTATCGACAGAGATCATCTTTGGCCAAAACGGCCAGACTAGGGTGCCGAGCAATCGAGGGCCCTGCTACCTCCAGAGCGACATCGATAATTCGGAGTGCCATCACTCTCATGGCATCAGTATGTTGCCGGTTGTGGGGATCCAACAGATCGATCAGAACACGGAACAATTCTCTTATCGATGGCAAGGAATATGGCTGGACATCGGCTTCGGGGTCATCATGCGGGCTGGGTGGTGCAGCCGCTGCACCGCTATGGTGTCCCTGCTCGGGCGATCCTTCACGGCTTGTGCTGTGCCTTTCGGCTGCCGCTGTGTCTGCACTGATAGCCGATAGGTGCTGGGATGTCACAGTGTCCCCATTGACCGATGGGTCCATTTTAAGGCGAGATAGTGGGTCCTTTTTTGTGTCTTCGCCCGCAAATGGGTCCGGTCCTGCGGGCATGCCTTGATCAAGATGCGACAGCCGCCCGAAAATCACTTGGCACATTTTCACCATTGCCATTTCGGCAGATCTCCGGAGCACCTCTGACAGACGCCCTTGGCAGCACATGCTCAGTCCTGTCTCCATCATCTCGCAGACGCTCTCATCGCCCAACAGCTCGCCCTCGGGTCGGGAAAGCACGCCCTCCATCAACTTGAGAATCCGCAACAAGACAATCTCGTCCGCCGAAGAGTCGCTCGCTTCGAATCGACAGTGTGTAATCGCCGCTGACAGTAGTTGCATCGCCATGGAGAGTCGTGGGGAGTTTGGATTGATAATGTTGTATGAGAAGAACTTGGTGATAGCGACCAAGGCGAGGGAGGTAATTGCGGCGGAGGTCGATGAGGAGCGGACAACCTGTAAGAATGGATGAAGGAGGGCTGGGGTATCAAACGTTCGAATGTCTTTGCATCCTTTGAGATCGCTCCGCAATCGTGTAAAGGCCGATATTAACGGGTTATCCTGCATGCTCTTCCCTTTCTTGCCTCGAAGGCCCCACCGATTGGCCAGAGCATGATCGTCATCGCGAGGAGTCGATTGGGTGCTCTTGCGAGGGCTCGGAGGAGCAGAGGCCTCCGGCTCGTAAACACGAGAGGCTCCATTGCCGCCCAAGATGGCGGAGACCGAGGAGTGAGCCCAGCGGGCATGCTTGCGCATGGACGAGGTGACGGTAATACATTCAGTGGTCACCAAAGCCACCGGGTCGATGGCAATGGGAAGGTTCGAATCCATGGTGGAATCGAGCATCACAAGAGATGCTGGTGGCACCATGTTGGAGGTCGGAACAAAACAGCTGGTCTCTCATCATACTGCTGCTTGCCTGTTCGAGGTTAGCGTCTCCCCCGCCTGCTCACCGCCTACACCAGGGGCTGTAACGATTGAGTTACAGTACATACGATAATGGGTGTATTAAACATCTTTCATTGGTTTATAGTAGCCACACTGGAGTAACATCGTATTCTCCGGTATTAGACTGCATCCATGGGTGGGATTCCACCTTGTTGACACGACACTACATCTACATACTCCATAGTACGCGTACGTATAACTTCAATATCAGAATGTGATAGCAAACATGAAAGTATGAGAGATATGCATGTTTCTAACTGTATAACATCTGGGATTCTGCTTATTGTTTTACGTCTGGGTCGGTATATTTTCCAAGTAAACAAAGATCAACTCCAAATCGGATATTATGTTTCAAATGACTCATGACTCTAGCCATCCTGTCCAAGGTATAATCGCATTGTTATAATATGACCTAGAACATCCTCTCTCTATGAAACGTGCAAAAATTAAGCTCGTGTAGCCATCTGAAACGAAAGAAGCAAACAAGTGACAAAACCCATGTGCTCCAGATGTGACTTGTCACACTCCTTGCAGCGGTTGGGGATAGCAACGTAGACTGTACAAGCGTTGGCCGGACAGTAACAGAAACAATAAAAACACCATGAAGCCCAAAGAGAATCCTGAGTTTCTCAGCTCCACCATTCTCTTAGCAGGGCGCTAATACCCGCAATCGGGCTATCGTGATATCAACCCACCGCTTCTCTCCCCGCCAAAACAAACTCCCCTCAATCTCACACACTCTCTCTCTGTTTGGCCTTTCTTTCCACCTTTCTTTTTCTTAACCTGCCTGATCCCATGAATTGATTGGTGACTTCCTATCCCTCGGCTTCCATGGAGGGGAGCGCGATCGCGATCGCATCAACCATAGGATAATCCTATATCGCGAACTGTCATTCCCTCATCCCGAATACAAATCCTCTCATTGAAAACACCTTGCGCCGCTGCGCTTCCTTTCTCTCTTTACATCGCGCCTGCTACGCCCGTCGGCGCATTCCATTTGTTTATCGCGCATAGCGCCTGCCTGGCCAGCTTATTGCACTTGCACGTTTACACGTGAATAATTTCACCATGGCGACTATTGCACCTCCCCCGAGTCCTACGCTATCGGACCTGCCTCTCGAACAACTTAGCCTTTACCATGTTATCGACTCGTGTTTATCATCCATCCTCGTGTTCTACGGCGCTGTCTCCACGGCCAATGCGACTGTCAGCAGCTCGCGCATTCAAGCCCATATCTTCACAACGGCCGGCTTTCAAAGTTATCCTCGAATAACAGTCTCTCCCGCTGCTCCCGTGTATGCGGCGGTCAACCACCTACCCCGCGACAAACAAGGTGACGAGGTCTGTCGCGGACTGGCAGTGAGCATGTTGAGATACTTTGCCGAGCTGTCTGAGCCGGTCAAGCACCGTTTGACGGGGGTGGCTCGTGCAGGTCGGCCCGGAAAGCCCCCAAAGATGTTTGATGAAATGCACGCGGCAGATTTGGCCAACCGGATGGTCAAAGTGGATGATCCAACGGAGATCATTCGAGATATTCGGAGCGCATATCAAGAACGCAAAGTTCCATGGATTGATATCGATGTTGTTCTCCCTGCGGACACTATACAACCATCCAAGCGACGCGAGAGCGCGGGATCTGACGTGGAAGCTAGCCAAGACCCACAGTACGGACCATACACACCACTCATCGAGGCGCTGGGGGATCCTATGTTCTTGCCAACATCTCGACTGAAGCGGGCGCCTTCTCAACCGACCAATGTCAGCAAATCGCGGACTTTTGCGAGAACCCAGAAAGAGGCTCTCCGTTTAACAATGTGTGAGCTTGTTGATACCGAGGAGCGATACGTTGCGAAGCTGTATTCCCTTGTCCATGAGGTTGCGGACGAATTCCGCCAAAAGGCCCATGAGAGGCGGCCATCAAGCACCAGCCCCTCCGAGGAAGCTTTGGCAGCATTGTTCCCACCGTGTTTGAATGACATTCTGAGTATCAACCTTGGCTTTCTTGATGTCATTCGACAGGTCCTGGATGAAACAGAGAAAGATGCCATTACAGATATTGGCCATGACACGGAGCTTCCTTCTACGCGAGGACGCTCAAGGGACACCAAAGATGCGCTCGGAGCCGTGGCATTTGCCAAGGCCCTCCTCGAATGGCTTCCTCGATTTTCAGAGCCATACAAAGATTACATGCGCGCGCACACCGGGTTTACCCAGACTTTGAATTCGTTCATGAAGGATAGGGATTCCAGCTTTTCGAGAAGAGTATACGAAACCGGAGAGCAGAGATTGCGATCTTTGCTGATGGAGCCCGTTCAACGACTTCCTCGGTACAGTCTTCTAATCGACACCATGACAGGCAGTCTGCCCTTGGTTCATCCGGCTGTGCGAACTCTGTTGAAAGCGCGAGACATTGTGAAGGACATTTGTGCATTGGATAATGATTCCCCATCCAGCCATGCACAAGGCCTAGAACGATTGAGAGAGCTTGTTACTGGATGGCCTGTCAAGACTTTCCCCGAAGGTCGCTTGATTACCGCTGTCGATTTCAACGAGATTACCCCTCCATACAACCTGGATACCCAGTCATCCGGCCCTAATGCAGGGATCTTGCTTCTCTACAAAAATTGTCTAGTTCTTCTGGCAAAGCCTGCTGAAAGCAAAGCTACCGCCCGTGCGTTGTTGGCTGATATTGACAATGCAGCCTCGCCTACCGCTGATATGTCCATGTCTTTACCTCAATCGGAACTCCAAGTTGCAAAAGTATTGGAATTCCACAAGGTTCGATGTATGCAATCCACCTGTGGCCGAATGCTGTTTGTTTTGCCAATCGCAAGCAACACCATACCGGCCGACATAAACACACCATCGGACTTGCTTGCATTGGAGTTGACAGCCATGTACGAAGGAAGAGCCAATCGCTTGATTGAGGAAATTTCAAAGGCGAAGATTGAAGGCCGATTCCCAGAAAGCGAACGAGAAGGAGGAAAGTGGTCCTTACGGAGCCCTACTGGTTTGGCCAGTAATGTCGGTATTTTGGCCTGCGTGTGTGAGTATGGCCAAAGTCCCACGTTGAGCCAGGATTACTCGTCCCAAATCCGAGTTGTATTTGATACCTCCAAGGCTGCCTGTGGACAAATCTTGAAAAGCACTAATCTGGAGGTTGTCATATCGATATCTCCTCCAAATGGAGACCAATATAGATTGGACATCGAGACTGTGGTTGGCTCTGGATCTACCGATCTGATCACAGTGGACACCTTTGTCCCCACTCTCTCACGACGCCTTCAATATCTTTTGTCGCCTTTACACAGCCCTCGAAACCCGGTATTGACGGAGCCACTGGTTCATTCCAATTTTGAAACCCTTCGGTATATCGCCAGTAGCTTGATCACACAAGTCAAGTCTTCGCGAGGATTCCGACCACCTTCGCCAACCAAACTGATTTCCAACCTTTTGGGGGGTAGTCGTGATAATGTCCCAACACTAAAAGGACCCAGTTCAGCAACTTTGACCGGCGAATTTCCGAAAATGCCTCCACCAAGAGGCACTTTGTCACGATCAAACACGTTGCCTTCGTCACTTCCCGGAAAAGAAAAAGAAAAAGAGAAGGACAAGGACAAGGAAAAAGAGGAAAGTACTAGTAAAATCTCGGTTGTTGGCGCTTCCGATTCTCGGGGATTGGATGCCCAGTTCAGCTTGCTGGAACAAACCTTTGCAGCTTATATCCTCTCTCTGCAGTCTCGAAGTGGAAACATCCTGGGCCGAATGCTTCGTGCCAGAGATAATGCCGACCGGGCACCGGTCAATGAGCTCTACAACATTTTGCTCGAAGACCCAAGCAAGATTCAGGCTGCCGCCGAAGTGCCTGTTGATACGTTGTTTGTTGCATTTGAAACCTTCTTGGCGAACGCATGGAAAAGAAGCATGGGTCCCGTTCTGAGCTCTTCTTCTTTGAAATGGATCCAGAGCCAGTTTGACACCATGATCCCGCGCGACTTTGACGAGCAATTCCGCAGATTCCTTTCGGAAATGAGTCCGCAGAACAGACGAGCGCTGGCTGCAATCATTCGGCTGCTTGCTGAGCTGCTCGATGCATCAGGGAATGATGGGGATCGCGGTGCCCTGACCATGGCGTTTGCTGAGGTAATAACAGAAGACGGAGATCCTATCCATCACGTTTCTCTTTTGGATCGACTGGTCGATGACTTTGACAACCTCTTCGAAGATTTCATCCCCGGTGGCACTTCAGTGGAAGGAACGCTAACCGTCAATCAATCGAAGACCTCACATGGCAATACCGGATCTGTTGGCTCTAATTCTTCTTCTTTTCGCAAACGATTCGGCTTTTTGCACAAGGACAATTCAAAGAGCGAGAAGAGTGAAAAAGGTGAAGGAGAAAGCAAAGTTGCTTCAATTCTACGGACATTGAGCAAGAAACAAAGCCCAGCTGGCTCAGAGCCCAACACCCCGAAAGGCTCCCTGATACGATCCAAGTCGACCGATGTGGACGCCCGGTTGGGATTCCTTCGGCCTACATCCCGCGATCGCCCCTACGGCTTTGCATCTGAAGAAACTATCTCAAGACCAGGCACTGGCTACGAAAAGCCTCCATCTTTGTCCTCTGTCCGAGGAATATCTGATGATGGCGTGCCCAGAGTTCGTAGGAAACGCAGGAGCTCACTGTCGGACCTGAGACCAAATACGGCATCCTCAGATTCATCCAACATCTCTCCCACTCAGCAACTTCGTCCGGTAACACCCTCTAGCCGCCCACGAGGAGAGGTTATTACACCCACCAGACAGCCCAGGCCTCAGAGCAGCTATATTCCAGCATCGCCTGCGCGTGGCAAGTCACCGGCGAAATCGGGTTCACCAGTACGATTAGGATCACCCATTCGCAGAATGTCTCCCAATCGACCTTCTACACCCAGCCGGAAGGAGAACATTGATCCTAAGACGCCCTACACGGAGAGAACATCCAAATCCCGAGGCAGTGTTTCAGAATCGCCTGCCGACGAAAATAGACGATCTCGTGCATCTGGTATTCCCCAACGGGCGCCAGGCCTTCGAGAGCGCCCGACGACCAACGGCTCCGATAGCAGACGGCCACAGCCATCGTCTTCTTCGCAGAAGCCGAAAATACGGATGCAGAGTCCACAAAAGGTTTGCCAAGGCTTTCGCTATCTGATGAGATCATTTGACTAACATTGATATAGCTACGCGATCGTGTGCAGCAGGAAAAGAAGGACCAATCAGCTACTCATGCAGCCTTCAAAGATGAGCTCACGGCACTTGGTGACGAGCTACGATCGTTCACGTTTGCACCAACGAAACCGCTCGGTTTGGACTTCAGTATGGACCGCACAAACAGCTGTCCATCTTCTGATAACAATGCAGCTCTTGAAGCTCGCATGCGCACCCTCGAGGCCCGGTTCGATATGCTTAGTGGAGAATACAATGGCCGCACATCTGCTCTTGAAAAAGATTTGGAGTCGTCTTTGATTCTCAGCGAGCGACGCGTGAAGAAACTTGACGAGCTTTATCGCGAAGCGAGCGCCGAAAACGAGGCGCTTTATGATCGATTCAATACAGAACTCAGCAAGATTGCCAAGGACGTTCGATCAGGAAACGGAGAGGACTCCTTGAAATCCCAGCTGGCAAGTGCTCTAGACGAAATCAACCGGGTTAAGAAGGAAAACTTCCGACTGAAACGAGAAGTTGGAGGCCTTCGCGCCCAGCATGCCGCTGCTGCCCTGGTCAAGGCGAGCGAACAATGACAGCATTCATGATATCGAGGGTTTCGCATTCCTTTCCCTCATTTCCTTTCTCAACACATCAACACACATCAACACACACCAACACTTACCAACACTTGCCATATTTATTCTTTCCTTTTACCTTGTATTTTGATACTCCACAAACCTTTGAACGCACCTTCATTTGCATATCATATCCATGATCATTTCTTACTTGTATTCATTCCGAATTCTTGTCATCCCCATACTGGCCTATCCGCACAGATGGCCATTGATAATACATGCATAGCTCAGGAGATCAAGTTATTGCAGGGCTTGTTTTTTGATTGTCTAAATGTCGTTGTCGTGTACACTAAACGTCTTCAGTGTCTTCAAGGGGCCAGCCCATCAGGCGTAGCGCCTCTGTGTCAATCCTTTTGTACATCCACTGCCATTTCAATTTCCAGTGCTTTCCATAATGCACCAATTCCACCTCCTTGGGAGAATCATATTCTGCTCCATGACCCTGTAGACGGCAATCTAGAGTCGGGAATGCCAAAGGCTCAGAACTCGCCTGATCCACAGAATTCTCTCTAGATCCACTCTCTACTTTCTCCAAAAGAGGGAGAGTAAAGCGCAGTGAAGCTGGTGCTTCGGTTGCTAACAATGCTCGTGTCTGTTCCCAGAATTTCAATTTCGTCGCATCGATAACACGTTCCTTCTTCGGCCCTGTTCCCTCGGCGGCTGTACGCATCCTTTGCATATCTGTTTGTTTGAATGGGCGTAGACGGATGGAAAGACTTTGCAATTTGCTCAATGCACGCGGATCCAGCGTTGGATCACTTGGCGTAAGGCTAAACCGTAGCCAGTATCGATTATCCCATAAGCTCCATGGGGTGAATTCGCCCCGTGGCGGGACATAAAGACGCTTAATAGGGTCCCGACCTTTCATAAAGGGTTGGCGGGATAGCAGCCAGATATTATGACCGTCGTCGTTTGCAAGGGGCTGGAAGATAACCCCACCTAGGGTAAAGGCTTGTTTGTGGTGCGCACCGTGATTGGTAGTGGTGGTTTGAGGGACGTCTGAGTCGGGGAAGACGCGGGAAACCATTGGCTCATAGCTTCGCAATGCAAAATGGTTATCGGGGAATGGAGAAACCAGTTCTGTGATGCGGCGGAGGACGACGGTTTGGATCTGTTTGGTTTGGAATGTTGACAGGGAAGCGATTTGGGGGTCGATGGATTCGAGACTTGGGTTTAGGAATTGGATCACTGCTGATCCGGCTCCAGGATTGAAATCCAGTAACCGGCATTGAGATGATAGTAGGGAGTTGGAGAGTTCTTTTGAGACTTCGAGGAGGTTTTGGCTTGAGCGGATTAGGGAGAGGATAGATTCGGATCGAAGGGCTCGGGGTAGGGAATTAGATGATACGAGGCTGCGGATGGCGTTGCGGGGAGTAAGGGTTGGGTCGAAGTTTGTAGGATCCGAGACGTAGGGGACTTGGTTTTTGCGGCATGTTTCCACGAGACTGGATTTTGGGAAGGAGAGGAGAGGACGGCAGAGGAATATACCGCCGCTTGCGATGTATGAAGTTGTAGGGCTGAGATGGGATCCATGTTTGTCGTTCTCTGACTCAAGGCTCGGATCAGGGAACGTGATGACTCCTTGGCTTCGCCCGATGAAACGGATTTTAGTTTCAGGAATGGTGTCGGGTTTCAAAGGCATCGATAGAATTGACCCGCTCTCGGAAATTCCATAAAGGCCATGGCATTCTGGAATTCGAGCCACTTCGGGAATGCCGCCGAGACCAAGTCCCCTTGCACCGGAGGACAGTCGCCAAATGGTGGTCTCGACGTTATCGTCTTGATGATGGCCCAAGAGTAGTGTTCCAATGCGGAATCTCTGACAGGCGGAGCCAAGGGCCTGGAAACGGAGTCGTCGGGCGTGAGTTTCAAAGGCTGACGGCATAGGAATAGGTGCGTCTGCTTTAGAGGATTTCTGGCTCTTGCCAGTAGTGTACTTGGACCAATCCAGGCTTAAGATATAAGTTTTAATATCTGTGAGAAATTGATTAGATGTTGCTGCGCAAAGAAAGGTATAGGACTCTACCCATATCACGAAGCCAACCAGCCACCTTTTGGGCTTCATCAGTGCTTTCTGGGCGAGCGCGATGATCGACCACAAATGCAGTCACAGAAATGGCCCCAGCTACCTCAGGCGAGCGTTCCAGCTGCTTACACAGGTACGCCAAAGCCATCGAGTCGGCGCCGCCGCTGACAGCGATTCCTGCCAATTCGCATTAGAAATGATCGAATAAGTATAAGAAATTGGACCCCAAGGGCTCACCAATTCTTCGTGGAAGCGAAAGCACATCTTTGTCATCGACGGCTCCTTTCTTATAGTCGACATTGCCAGGCTTGATGCGGGCCCGTCGCGACCCGGACCATGCTTGTTGGAAGCACCGCTGGAACAGAAACGGCGAAATCGATATGTTACCTGGAGCCATATCTGCTCTCTCCCCTGGTAGAGCTTATTTTAACACCAATTTCACATCCATCATCGATTTGTAGATCGCGTCTCGCGCAGGAGAATGATATCGTCGGCCCGGCAAATTGGTTTTCCCGAGAGAACGTGACCGGCCTTCGCGCAAAAAAGTACCTGAGATGATCGCTGTATAATCAATATAATTATCGATATATACTTGTATTTATAGATATAATATTACTCAATGTCACAGATTATCAGCTGAATATAGGTGGGGGGGAAATATAATAATAGAGAAAATTATTGTAGGGCCGTGATGTATATCTGCATGCCTTTGTTCTCGGATTTTTTCAAGGCCTTGCGCATCAATTGAGAAAAGAGAGCTGCATTATGAGACTTGGAGCGCAAAGGTCATGGAGTGGTACTACGATGATCCTCGAATGGAAAATATTTTCAGTTTGCGAAGAGTAATACATCCGCTGGTAACCACTTTTATATCCCAGGACAATCAGGAAAAGCAGCCAAATAAGCGCCCTCAATCTCACGACCCATACCCCCAACACCTTCAAAAATCACAGCAGACTTCATAGACCGAACAAGAATTTCCACACCATGCCGCAATTCCTCAGTCAATCTCTCAACATCAGAAATTTCCGACGCAGGGCTGGGCTTATTGAGAAGATGATAACAAGTTGCAAGCCGATCCGTCGCCATACAGGCGCGGAGCCGGTGCAGTAGCATGAGAAGAGCATAACAGCCTTGCATGGCTGAGCATGCAAAGACAGGGATTATTCTAGGATATATGACAGATCCAAATGATGAATCATGTCTGCCTGCCAGTGGAGGTCGCACTTCCCTGTTTTGACTGCCAAGGGAAGTTGGAGACGGGAGAGAGCGGAATATTGATGCTATCGCGAGTGACGACTTGAGACAAATATTTGAGGATTCTTGTTCGGTGAATGGGAACGGATTTTCGCTGTCTGTTGCCCATTTTGGTGTGCACATATTCGGCGAGAACCCGTGGCTGTTTATTGATGTGAGATCGCAGTATTTGTCTAGGAAGAGTGGGATATCCATAAAGGCTCTGAACCGATGGAGCCGTACGCGAGCACTAGAAATGTAAATTGATGTACAACCTGGGATAGGGAGCACTACTCACGTATGGATAAATAAGCGGCTGATCATCCACATTGTTTGAGCCACAGGTGCTTCGGGTGTTTCGTTGAACGTCGCCAAAAGGTGGCGGTCTGCTTCAGACATCAGAGATACAATCTTTGAGTCCAATCGCTGTATTCGGCCGCTAAAGTCGGATAGATCGGTCGTTTCGTCAACACGTTCGATATTCTGCACCATTTTGTTGGCTTCGAAAAGAACTTCTTGTGCTTTCATAATCATAGGCCATGGCTTGATAGAATCAGTGGGTGATCAATGAGTTACTCTGAGGGGAACAAGGGCAAATACCTGTAAGTAGACATCAAATTTAGGATAAGGAGTCGTAATTCGTGGGTCGTGGAAAGAAATAATTGGGGGCTACTATCGCGGTCAGTTAAATCCAGTGATTTTGAGCGCCGAGCTGACTCCTTACCGCAAGATTGATATTTGACGATAGGTAAGTCGACCATGACTATAGAACCATTAGAAGCAGCCCACTCACTTCGAAACAAGATTTAGCATACCGTCATCCACCAGGTTCGTCTCTGTGCCTCGGAAAATTCAGTTACTGTGTCGTCAAGACTGTGAAGAGATATGTCCATAGCCGTTGTAATGGCCTGGTTGACCCGAGCCCGAATCCTTGATATGTTGCCTCGCTGGATATACTCATAGACACCAAGGACAACAAGAGCCAGGATCGGTTCAAGCTGAGCAGGCAACCGAGGATGCAAAGAGCTTCGCACTTCACACGAATCCGTATCAGATACTGCACTCAATCCAGGTGACAGGTCGTCGATCTCTTTCTCTACGGCAGCCAACGCTGTCTGGGCAAAGAGCTGCGCATACGACCGCCTCAGTGTGAGACTCGCATCGGTCGTTGGTAGTTGATCTTCAGCAACAGGTATTAGAACCAACATGGCGGATAAGGCTAGGGCAAGTGATGACTCTGGCCAATGTGGTACTTGGGACTTCTCGGCCTGGGAGTTTTCTCCGAAAGGCCGGATCACCGTTGGTCGATCTTCATACTGAGGCGTCACTGGGGGTGGTAGCAATGGAAGATATGAATGAAGATAGAGGTAGTAGGAATTGACACTGTGCAATCAGTCAGTCTCCAGCTCTACCTTGAATGCCGTCTGTTCTTGCACGTACATGTCTCCTTCGGAATGATAAGCGCGCATCATTGGTGGTTCAGCCCCAGCTTGAGTGGCTAAGTCCAGAACGCTGTCCGCATGTGGAGTTAGCTGGCCCCAAATTTGCTGAGCTCCATCTCCAACAGAGAGAGCCTCTGGTGATAGATCTAGGTTGTGGATACCGGCAAATGGCGATACCAGGCCGATCATGTTGTCCAGGAATGGTTCTGACCACAAATTAGAAAGTGATCTCGAGCTTAGAAACAGTTAATTTACCAAATTCTTCAGCCACATCAGATATCGAAGTGCCCGATGTAGTCAATTTGCGCTGTGCCTCTTCATATCGGGCTCCTCTCCGAGGACCACCCCGGCGACTGGGCTGGTAATAGCAATCTCTTTCCTTGCCTGTGCACTAACCATAAAAGAACATCAGTGAATTGAAGATTAATCCCCCTATTTTGCCTGGACATACAACACCACAGGGATGATGACCGTCGCAACGGGTCTTTGAAGATCGGCTGTGAGCAATGTCAACTTGCGAGGCAACTAGCAATCAGTAATATATGTGTTACTCACCATGGAAGGCAAGCAGCCTTCACAGGGGGCTTGACAACTCGAGGCATACTGCTTATCTAGGATGATATAGATGGCAAGTTAACGTCTGCGTTGTATGGAACGTCACCATGCACGTGACATGTATACACTGGTCGATTCCAGGGGCTTTAAAGTCAGGCGGAAAGAATGACTCAGTTCTTGAATGATGGACTGATGTATAGATAAGCCAATAAGCTGTCGCATGTATGGTATGAGTGGGCAATTCGAAAGTAGGAGTTTACTGTTCGGCGTTTGGTCAGCAGACCAAACGCCGAACTCAACATATCATTGGCAGATATCCGCCTTCGGGGATTGGTCCTATAGTCCATTTTGCCTCATGAGGTTCAAGGGTGTGGAATATGAGTTAGAGTGAGATGGAAATTGAAATAGATGTTGGTTTGGGTTTGTTTAGGTTTTGTTGGCCAGATCTTCAATATCACACCATACGCCAGAAGTAGAGAATCGATAGTCAACCGACCGAAGGATTATAGTTAAATAATCACTAATATAATTTGGGGATTAATGGAAGAGACATGCTTAACCAGAACAATTTCTTTACAGCCCGGGCTCATTGACAGCACCTTTTCCCAACATTAGGCGCCTCGAAAGTATCCAATCGACAGAAGCAAGACGAAGTCACAGGAACGTCAGCAACAGCAGCCGCAATAGCTAGCTGCGGCTGAATAACACTTGCCTCATCGGTCCGACCAAGGCGCACCAAACATTCATGATAGCCCTGCAAAGCCCATACGTTATTCGGATGCCGTCGCGCACGAATGAGAGTACTATCAAGACCCAGATCCGCACGGTAGACAACCGCCGCATCCTCCACATGACCCTGCTCTAGTAAAAGCGCAGCATATGCATGGCGGGTTGGCTGCATCCAGCTCCAGGGCTCACTGTAGCCCAACCCATCATCCAACTCAATTGAACGGCGCAGAGCTTCGAATGCTTCCTTGTAGTTTCCGCGACGGTACTCGATCTCCCCATCTAACATTTCTGATGCCACCCCAAGGATATCGATGCACTTGTTGGGCCAGTCCAAGCGGGTGTCTGGAACTCGCTGCCGCGCTGCTCGGTATAGTTCACGTTGGTGCTCCGCCTCGGCAACCTTTCCGGTAGCCGCGTATGCTACACCCTTGGCGTAGTGTATGATGGCTATCGTCATGCAATATATTTCTGGGTCTGTGGGGATTTGCATCTGGATTATTTCATGCCACATGCCGAATCGAATCATGACATGAGCGCGCACAGACATGAAAACCTCGATGTAGTCTGACATGGCGGATAGCAATTTATAAGGTAGGCTAGCTTCCATGCGGTCCACAGCATCAAAGGCAGCCTGCTTCTGACCGGCGAACATGGCTGCGTATATAAGTGAGTGATAAGTATGTAGACGATAAACTGAGTAGAAGTTAAACGGGCCTTCGATTCCCAGCCATTTTTCGTCGGCGATTGCGGCGCGCTGATTACCACGCACAGCACTGCGGTAGTCTCCGACCAGGACGTCCAAATGAGAGGGCATATGATGGATGTGGCCAGCATCTGGAACAAGATCGCGGAGGTGGTCAGCGGGCCTCAAGCCAAGCTCTGGGAAAGGCGACATTTCAACAAGATGGATGTATATGTGTAGAAGTCCAGGGTGCCTCAAGGCATCTTTCTGTTCGAGAGCCTTCTCAAGAACCCTTTTCGCCTCCATAGTACGGGTTCCAGGGTTTGGTTTTCCAGTGACCAAATCCCACAGCTTCCAGGGAGTGAGGCTGATCAGTGCATCCGCATAAAGAGTGACCACGTCCAAATCATCAGGGAAGCTTTCATATGCTACTTGCATTTCATCAGCGTATGCGACATTCTGGGCAGCTAGCTGTTCCATATTGGCAGGCTGGTCGCTCTGATAACGAGCAGCGATTGCCTTTGCGAGAGCCTGCTCCACAGGCGATGCATTGGCGGCGAGCTGTTTTGCCTTGCATGCAGCTCGGTATGTGTTCTCGACAACGGATTTCAACTCGTTGCCGAGGAAGTCCCAAGGCTGATTGTAGTTGGGACCAAGAGAGTAGGCCAGACCCCAGTAGGCCATCATGCAAGACTCATCATGCACGATGGCCTGCTTGAAACATGCGGCTGACTCTTTGTGATTGAAGGAATATGCCCATGTCAGGCCACGATTAAACCACGTCTGGGCTTCCGGGCTGGTCGTGGTGATGGTCCTCTTGAATGACCCCAGATTGTACGGATACTCGTCCATCGTCGAAGCTTTTGTCATCCTGATCCTATAATGCGGCGAGGTGGCGAGAAGAGGATGAAGAGTAAAGTTGGCATTAAGCGGGGTTGCACACGAGGCTCTTCCGCCCGTAAATGTGCCCAACGGATTTGGGCGACCTTGAAGGGCTCCGTCCCATTTCCTCTTGTGAGAAGAACAGTACTTTTGTTGCATTGTATTGGATCCCAGGCTGACCTGCGAACGCTCCCCAGGATTGTCGGTGGATCCCATGGGCCCCTCTATACTGTCGTCACAGAGGTTGATCTGATTGTTTCTTGATCTCACAATCCTGGAAGGTCGCAGATTGTACAAACTATTCAGACAATATAACTTGGTTTATAATACATGGCCAGGACCCTGGGGTTCCTATTTTCCCCGCCGGTGTGGGATCATGCCACCCATCGGACACCCACTTTTTTGTGCACTAAATGTAGTGAGCAAATAGGGGGGATCATTATCTATCTATACAAGCATACGGGGTAAATACTATAATCTTCAATCTGATTACCAACTATCCCAACATTGGAGGTATTAAAGTCACCTTCACTCGTGAGGTCAAAATAGCGTCGGGACGCGCCAACAATATATCGTAGAATATATTGCTGAACACCATTCATTTGCGGCGATATTAATAAATTTACCAATATGATCTTGTTCAGGGGCCAGAGTAAACAGAGTAGCATGGCACCATACCGGTCGGAGGAAATGAAGTAGGCCTAGATCAACCAAGAAGGCCATGTCAAGGCACCACCCGGAGAGTGCTTCTCCAGTGACACGACCTTGAGCTACTGGGCGCGTAAGATACAGAAGGCCCGTGGGATATGAGCTGTTGGATACATCCCTGAAGGATCCTACATTGAGCAAGTTGGGGCTCTGTCTAAATCCTGGTGTGTGTGGCGTCACTGCGAAACCCCCATTCTCTATAGATATAACTTGAGTCGATCCGGCCCCGATAACATTGTGCTGTCTTTCCAGAGGCGTTTTCACACTTTACAGGAGCCACAGGGAAGATCTTTATAATGTTAGGTGCGTAGGATAAACAGCCGCTAAATGAAGATGTTTCACTTCATATAGTTGCCTAAGAAGGCCATGGAGAAAGACATAGCGGGTCGTGAAAGGTACCCAGAGATTTCCGCGAATAAGTACTTAGCAGAGGGAGGAAAGAAATGGATAAGTCTGTAAAAAGCAAACATGCCCGCTGACCAGACTATCTACAGCACCATGTTGTCTTCAGAGTATTCCACCCCAGAACCAATAACACGATGAAGTTAACCCAGAGGCTCGTTGCCCCAAATGCCGGGACCTGCAGCTATTGGGTAGATACAGTAGAAACTGCATCCAAATATGTGACGAGCCTGCATGCGGCGACGAAATTCCTATTCGAGTCCCATGCATTGCAGATCCCGAGGCTGAGACCTACCAGCTAAGCCTTTCAATTGAGTAGGCAAACGGCTCTCGGCCCGAAAAAAGCAGAGTCGATCTGGTTATGGATATTGCTCTACTGTATATCACTTTTATCTCGGGTGATTCATCTTTTCCATCATCCATCACTTGGCCCCCACATCTCCCTTGACTCACTGCATCACGCAGCGCCCTGAAACAAGCCACCACCCAATCACCGAAAATATGGCATCCTATTTCGAGACTTTCACGGGGGGATGCAGTACCCTCATCGAGGATCGTCTCAGAGAAGCTCCTTTCCAAAGGTTCGTGCTCCTAGCTTGTACGTGGATGCTCTCTATCCCGGCTATAATATCCCTTGTGGTTCGTTACTGGCCACCATTCGATTCCGACACTGTCAGACCTCGTCTGGAATGCCGGACATGTGGAAGCACAGATGTTATCGAGGTTCCCAGTACGGAGACCTGAGTACTAAGGGTGAGGTCTGAGATTTGGGGGGAAATGCCACATGGCACTAGGGCCTGGCTGATCAGCGGCTTGGCCAGGAACAGGAGTTCGTCTTCTGGTCAGCCTCATCGGGCATAATTTGGTTTACTTTTCCGCTTAATGGACGTTTCTGTTGGTCGTTATATGCATATTTAGTGTAGCTTATTTTGCGTTATTGAAGGCTAAACTTATTCTAGAATTGATGTACCTGGATATGTCTGACTGCAGGGCTGCAGGCTAGGATATTCCTAAGGCTTCAGGTTTTTACGCCCCTGATTATTCAACTTTGAGGGAGGGATATTCCTGCTCGTTACCACTGAGTGTATAGCAGAAAGAGGAAATCGCTATAGAGTGGTGCTTTTGATTAGTCTCCTTCATTTCTTGGCTTTCATTCCTGAGCAGGCTATCTGTACTGTATACCTCAGTGCTATCCAATGTTGAGACCTTGCCAAGCTGTAGCCTCATCAGGACCACAAGCCCCTTCCGGTAATCCCATTCTCCAAGCCATGCTCAGCTGATGATCGTCCGCGGAGGACGGCGAAAACATCGACACACATTTTGACTAGTGAATATCCCACAGTCCAATACCACGAAGGAAGACCAACCACTGGAGCTGAGTTACGAACATACCAGTCCTGAATAGCATCACGTCTATCTCACCTGTATGAATGTAACCCCAAGCATAGTCAATTTTGGACAAAGACACCGTGACCAACTTACTCGTCCGCATTGGAGTTGCCTATTCGGTAAAGACAGCATCCTCAGCAGAGACAACTATAAAGAGCCAAGAAGCCCACAGCAAAAGAGACCATCCAACAACTCATTCAATTATCCCAAGTAACCTCAAACCCAAAGCCAACCAAGCACCACCAACCACCAAGATGTTCACCTCGACCATCATCAGCAGCCTAATACTAGGCCTGACCCAACTCCCAAGCAGCTACGCCCTGCCCAGGAAGCGAAGCAACCAAAAAAGGGCTTCATAATCAACCACGTCGGATCGGACTACTTCCCGCACGCAAAGAGCGACCTGAGCGCCTTCGACGTGGACGTCCGCTACGTCGGCTACACACCCGCAACGGAAAGCTGGCTGACAGCCCTAAACCCACACGGCGGGGCTAGCGACGAAGACGAGGCGCGCATGCTCACATATTTTGCCAAGAAATACGATGACAACGACGTCGACATGTCAAACGAAGTGCAAGCCCTGCTGGCGCACGTCGCGGGTAACAGCACTAGTGCCATCGAGAAGCGGTCTAGTTTCGTGACTAGCGCTGCGCATGCTGTGGTCTGGGAAGCGTGCAATGGTTTCTTTGCTTGTATCGCCGGCGAGACTTGCACTTTCGATCAGAATATTGGAAAGGCGCCGCGCAGTCATTGTGAGTCGCATGGCAGGTCGAACTGCTATATTAGTTAGTCGACTTATAATGTTCGCGCTGGGTTCTTTGCTACTACTTGGACGACTTGTAATGAGGAGGTTAAGGCTGAGGGGAAGACTAGTGATCCTTGTGAGGGATATGGGAGCAGTGATCAGGGTGGTGATGTTTGTCTTAGCAACCGGGCTTCTGGTTGTACTTAGCTTGGTTTTGGCGTGGTCTGATATTTGATGAAGATTGAGAGTTTGCTATCCGGGAGAGGGAGAATGGAAGCGTCAGACTGATATTGAGCTTGCTGGAGGATTTGGCTTATATTGTGTTTTGGTGGAAGATGTGGGAAATTTCCATAAGGAAAGGGTGGTGATCAGTTGGAAGTAGCTGGGTATGGGGATTATTCAAAGGACCCCCAATCCTTGTTATTCGGACCCCCTCTCCACCTGTCTAAGCCTAATTAGGGAAGGCGTCGTATGTGTATTTCACAGTGTCTTTTTTGAATATAGTGACATAGCAAATGTTTTAACACTATTGGACAGACCTTTTTTTGACCGTTTTTTTGACCGTTTTTTAGACCACTTATTAGACCCCCTATCGTAAACCGAAGAGTAAGTCTACAGTGATGTTGCAAAAGTATTTGACCTAAGGAAATACACTATAAAATACACATACTAAGCCTTCCCTAATTAGGCTTAGACAGGTGGAGAGGGGGTCCGAATAACAAGGATTGGGGGTCCTTTTAATAATGCCCCTGGGTATAATGGTGGAACTTTACTTGGCTCTTGAGTATTAAATTGAAATTGTTGCCCTTTTCGAATTTATCCATCGAGGACTACCAGTAGAGTAGGCCTTTGAAAACAAAACAAGTTCAATAAAATAGAGTTCACTACAACTCAACTCAACACAGCATAGGACGTCACACATAATCAAAAACAAGCCAGCACATACATTGAAAAGGTATCTCGAGTTTACATACAATGCAAGCTGCAAGGCATAAAGCAAAGGCTCAAAGGGAAAGCCAAGCCAGAGGCAGAAGCACTACCATATGCGCTAACAAAAAGCAACAAAAAAGTAACAGAAAATGTGTGAGATGAAACAGACAAAAAGAGAGCAAAGCCAAAGCTAAATCCAAATCCTATAACAAAGCAAAGACCTCCCCCATATGTACCGGAGATCCAAATTTCACTGGCCTAGACCAGACACCGAATGTAACTTACCTTTTAAACAGACAGACAAAAAAAAGGGGAAAAAGGAAAAAGAACCACCAGGGAGGTTCCAGAGTAAACGGCTTTCCTCGCTAGGTGACGACGGAGCCGGCAATAGATCCCGAGTTGGTCACTGAGTGAATGCTACCCGGGGGTGCGTGGCTATCGCCATTTGTGCCATTAGCTGCACCTACGGGAGTTGGGTTGTCGTCAAGGCCTAATAGAGAACGGGGCGGGTGGATTTCTTTCTTGCCGTTTGCTTTGTAGTAGAGGATCATGTCTCCTGAGGTGCGCCACAAGCACGTGCGGATTGTTGCAAGGGTCATGTTCGGTGGACAGAGCTAAGATATTGTCAGTATATAAAATGGCAGTCTGAAGAGCAGAAAACTTTACAGTCTTTTGGCAGTATAGCTCGAGATACTCCTCCGGGGGCATCACAGACTCCTCGGGGTCATCCGGGTTTGCAGGGTCGATGCGCTCTGCAACGTAAGCAAGAACCTTCTTGGCCCGGAGCATGCGGTTGGCATTCAACCGGGAACCGCTGGTGTTGGGGTTCAAGTTGCTTGGGGGTGGTGCACCATTCATGGTCGGTCTGCAAGGAGCGGTGTCAGTTCCGTGGGGTAAAGTTGGTGGAGGGTAAAGATGGCCCAAGACATACGGTTCCGGTTTGACAACTGGTGGCAGGGAATCATCGAAGGGTTTCAACACGAATGCAATCTTGACTTGTTCCTTGAAGGGAATTTGATTCTGGGATGTATCATTAGCAAAGCACTATACGAACACCTGGGGTGCAAACTTACCTTGAGAAGAAGCTCGCCAAGCCAATGGGGAATTGATTTCTTGAGCCTCTCAAGATCCTCGCCAATCCGATCCACACTGCCTCGGTAGAGGTCTGAAGCAACTGCAGTATCACCTGTTTCCTCCTGAATGAAAACCGCAACCCGAGAAGGAATTTCCAACCGGGGTGTTTCATTCTCGGGACTGGGTGTAATAGCCGTCTCCAGGTCAAGGTTGGAATTTGTAGACAGGTATTCCTCATAGTCATGACGGATCCGATCAATCACACCACAGAGATTGGGCTCATACACCTTCTCCTCCTTGACAGAAGAGATCTCAGATTCTTCTGCCTTCTCTTCGAGGATTTGAGGCTTCGTATCAGTAGAAGTGCGAGTCAACTTCTTGGGGAAGTCCATTCGGAATTTCTTGGAAAAGAGAGATCCGCCCTTCTTGCGCTCCTCCTTGTCAGGCTCTGCGGGAGACTGAGGAACACCTGGATTGGAGGCCCCTTCCGAGGGTAAGGGTGACATAATAGATGTTTCTGTGGTTTGCAGCGTTGGTCTATTTGAGAAGTAATCACTCCGATCAGAGAAGGAGGATGGTCCGCCATCAAGGTGCGACTGTGTAGGCCCCAAAGGATCGGGCGTATCTGGCTCAAACATAGGGAACGGAGAGTTGCTCTGCATGGAGGTGCTCAAGTAATTTGACGAGGGTGTGCCAACATTGATTCCGAAACCGGTGCTGGGGCTGGCAGGGAAGTCCGCACTAGGACGCAAGGTCCATGTGGAATGGGGATTCGAAATAGGGATTCCAATGCTGCGAGGGACGTCATCTGCCGGCACGGATGTACTTATGGCGTTCTGTCGAGCATTTTCTTCTGCCTTGGCTATAGCAGCTTGACGGTACTCGTTGTCTCTGCGAATTTCCTCATCCACTACCGGAGCAAAGAGCCATCGCAAAATCCATTTGCCAAGATTAACTGCGATTGGTCAGTAAGCACAAGACATGATGGCTGACAATAGGAGAACTCAACACATGGGGAATAATACTTACGTCGCTGATCCTCTCTAAACTCAGCCATGTCAGATGGCGTCAAATCGGTGCAGTCGGCATAGACCTCTGCATCGAAACAACGATTGGGTTCCAGAATAACCGACAGTCGACCAGTGCGTACATCAATTGTACACCAATGTGCAATACTCTCAGTGGTGTTGACTTCTGACGCAACATCATCGATATGACGCTTGCCAAATGTCTTGACCGGAACACACTATATTTGATGTCAGTTGGCGTTAGATATTATTGAAAAGCCTTGGATTTACCTTTAGCAGATCCCAAAGCACAACTTCTCCTGCAGAGTCCTGAGTGAGTGTGTGCATGCGGTCATTCAACATGAGACACTTGATTAAGCCATGCTGGCCCTCGATTGTTTCCTCGGGTAACGAATGAACCGGGATTGTTAAACCGATTGCTTCCAAATTGGGCTCTGGGGAGCTCCCATTAGGGGTAGAGCTACCAAGAAGCGTTGAAGTAGCCGAGAGTTGAAGAGCAGCATTGAATGGAATCTTCTTGGGTCCCTTTTCAGTCGATTTGGCAGGCGCTGCGGTGGATTCTATGGTAGGTGCAGGATCAGGCGGTGGCTCAATGTCAAGTGTGGTATCGACATCTCTCCAGCGATTGATGCTCGATTTGGGAGTGGCGGTCCAGATGTAGTCGCCTGCTGCCACGACCTTGACAACTCCCTCATGTTCTTGTAGTGCGGCGACGCAAGTGCCTTGCTCGGGATCGGGGGAGCCTCGAGTATCTGTCTTCGCAACTAAGCCGGATCGATCGCTGGAATAGAAGACTGATAGATCGGGGTGGTCTGAGTAGAGAGACCACACGCTATCGTTGTGCATGGTCAGGGTGTTCATGCATCGTCCTGCTGTAAGAGACCAAATCTTGATGGTTTGGTCTGATGAGGCAGTCATGATCGTATCACCCGATTGATTAACCATGATATCACGGATGTTATCCGTATGTCCAACGAACTTGGTCACCAGCTTCCCAGACCTGGGATCCCATACTCGGACGACATTCTCCGGACCACCGCTAGCAAGGACCGAGGAAACAGCACCGAGAGCGTAAACAGAGCCTTTCTCGGTAGCATCTTCGCCGCCAGCATCAATATTCAATATCTCTCCACCGCCATTCAGATCCCATAGATAGAGTTTATGATCCAGACCACCGGACGCAACCCAGGTAGCATGCCCACCCGGACTTGCCAAGGCCTTGACATAATCCGTATGTTTTCCAATGCGCTCCGGGACATCAGTGGACTCGGAATGCGGGCGCCAGAGTCGCACGGTCGTGTCGGACGAAGCGGAGACGAGCGCAGAGTTATCCTGTGCCAAGACGATATCGTTGATCCAGTGGCTGTGGGCTTGCACCTGCGTCTTGAAGCCAGTTGGGCTGGGCTTCTGGCTCGAGCCGGAGAGTTCTGTTGGGGTAAACGAGGAAGGTAGGGGGAAATCGAGATCCCACGAACAGATGACGCCGTCGCGTCCCGCGGAGTACCTGGAGAGGGGACGTCATATTAGAATCGGTGCAACCCACGTGCTGGAGGAGCCTTATTTCCCGGCAGACTGCAGTCGCCGGCAGGACAGCTTGGATCTAGATCCTGGATCCCAGTAGGACGAGGGGAGGAGGGCTTACAGGATGGAGTTCTGACGGTCAACGGTCAGGCCATTGACCCCCAGCCGATGCCCGCCTGGAGCATCTGGCAGAGGAAGTACTAGCAGGATCAAGGTCAGTATTTCATCAAGCAGAAATGTTGCGATCTGGTTTACCATAGGTGACCCTCTGGTGGCTTAGTTTTCGTGCCATGCATGCAGCGTTGCAGGAGTGAAGCCAATTGCGGAGATGAAAATGCGGAGCTTATCTGCCGTCGAGGCCGATCGTTCAGTTTGGCGGGGAGACGTCGACGTCACATTCAACGCAACGTAAAGAGAAAAGCAAAGAAGCAAAGAAAAGCCAAGCCTATGGAATCCCAGAGACCAACAACTAAGACGGGGGAAAATGAGGGGAAATATAACCAGAGTTGGAGGCGCCAGGGGGCAGCCTATCAGGCAATTTCAACGGGTGATGGATACTCTTGGTTCTATGTCATCTTTTATAGTCACGTCTGGAGGTTTTTATTCTATTTAACTTACGCGATATTGTCATGTCTATAAATTGATATTCGGCTTACTATCCGAACTCTTACTTTGAACTTCCCCAGGCGTTCACTATATCCCCCATAACCGTACGCATAAACAAACAACTCTAAAACAACACCACCAACCTCCCTTTCAGATAATTCCATCGGACTCTCAAAGCCCCTAGGAAGCCTAGGCATCTAAACATAAAGTCTCTCACACAGTCGGCTATCTACGGTAATAGACTGAAATCCGCACTAAGTCCCAAGCCACACGCATGCATAAGCACGAAGTAAACGCAGGCACCTACCCAATGATTTGACTCGCCAAGTTTGTCTCATCCTTCGATTAGTGAGATATCTGCTATGATGTGTGGTTGACAGGTTGAGGTTTGTTGTTCTTGGCTATAACTTAATAGCGCAGATCAGTTCTTGTATAGACGAGATGGAGGATCTCCCAATTGCCGAGTAGATGAGAGGGTATAATGACAAGCATGTAAATCGTGCCAACCCAAAGCTCGGTAGACATCAACTAGCCGAGATGCAACAGATACGATCTATCTATATTTTTCTCCCAACCTTATACAAGAAATAGCTTATACAATCCACCCCAACAACTCTAACCAACCTCAAATCCCCGCCTCTCTCTTATATTCCCTCCTCCCCTCAAGCGTATTCCAAGCATACTGATAACTGCCCAAGAAAACAGCACCACCAATACCAATCCAAGTAACACGCGGCGTAATACCCCTCCAGAAAGCCCCAGGCCCCTCACGTGCAATACCCTGAACAATCTCCTTAACCCCAACCGGCGCACCAGCGCCATCCCCCCTGCGCGCAAGCATGACCCGCGTCTTAATTACATCCAACGGAGTCGTCAAACCAGCCGCAATCGCTCCAGCCACACTACCAAACATAGCACTCGTCGAAGCCGGAATCTGCGTTTCAGTCACGGAAGACGCAGAACCGACGGGACGCAGATAGCGCTTTGCATAAGCTTCCTTCATCGATTCCCACATCGTGAATTGGAGCACTGTGAAGGGAATTTCGCGCGCGATGGTTATACCCGCACCGCGGTAGAGTTCGCGTACGACTTGGCCGTAGCCGCGCTTTGCGGCGGACGCTGGCGCAGCATGGCGGAGGGAGAGGATATCCTTTAGGGCGGCGAGACTTGATCCGCCGAAGAGGCCGGCTTGGGCGCGCTGTTTGATTACTTCTGTGGGTACGCGGACGGCGCAGGCGGCTATCTCGCCTAAGGATGAGGCGAGGGAGTGTGTGAGGATTATGTGGGTTCTCGATTGGGGTTGGGTTGAGCCTCCGGGTGGGAGGAGGGTGCGCTTGACGCCATCGTAGACGATGAAGAAGGAGGCTGCTGAGGGGGCGGACCCGAAGAGGACGGAGGGGAGGCCTGCGTAGATGCCGCGGATGGTTTGGTGGAGAGAGAGGCGGGCTGCTGCTGGTGCGAGGGGGTCGCGTGCTTTTTGGAGGCGGGTTTTGATTGTATCCAGTGGGTAGAGGGAGCAGTCAACTGTTAGTCCTGCGATTGCTCCGGACTTTATTTTTGCTGGGTTAGTGGTGTTCGATTTTGGATATTGGGGGTGTTGGGAGATTTGTGTACGATTAGTGACCTCGTCCAGAGGGAGGAAACGAATGGCTCCCCGTCAGGTTGCTGGGCCATTGTGGAGAGAGAAAGGAGTGTGAGAGAGGGAGAGAGGGGAAGAGCAGAGTGCGAAGATATCTATTTGGACATGACAAAACTGAAGGCAATGCGGAGTAGCTGGGAGCTCCGGCAGTTTAGTTTTGCTCCGCGGTCAGGCCATTCCGATATCGCCGAACTTCGCTACGTCAGTCTACAGAAAACGGTGGAAAAGAATATATATTCGAATTTAAATGTATCTACACTCTCGGGAAATAAGAAAAAAGGTCATCCCCAGCCTGAGCCAAAAAGAAGTGCTCCCGAAAATCCCGTCGGCATGCCCAAGTCAAGCAGACATCTGTCAGCAGAGCCCGGTTGATTAAGAAAAAACAGGGACTGCGATAGATTGCCACAAAGAATGCATTTCAGGGATATTGACTCAGAAAAGAAGGATGGGGAGTGAGAGAAAAAGCGACTATCATCTACAGTATTCAACAGGGAATCAGAACGCGGGGATGGAAACAAAGAAAAAAACCATCCCAGATTCAAAGGGTCGGAAATTATGGGCACAGAATTCATACAGAGCAAGGGGTATTATTTGGCCTTGGTGCCTTTGCTGGCCACGGCGGGACTCTGCGACGGGGGCTCCAAGACATGGGTGTGGCCGGGGTCGTTGATGATCTCGCCAGAGCATTCCTGCCGACAGGCATGGATGTCTCTGACCCAGTCATCACTCATGACCTCGTCCAGTGTGGCTCGCTGGTTGGGGTTGGTCTTCAGCATACGACCAATAATGTACCTGCTTTCCCGCGGTAAGATGCGGAGAAGGCGCCACGGTCCCTTGATGACTTCCTGGCGCTGACCAGAGGACTGGGAAGGTGGTTGAACGGGCGGTGCCTCTTTGCTCGTCGTGCGGGTAGGCCGATCATGGGCAGTAGTGCTAGTCTGGCTGGTTTGCTTTTGAGCAGTATCAGGCGAGCGATCACCATCCCCGTGTCCGGTACCGTTTCTGTTTTCTTCCGGTGCAGACTGGTCCTTGGTTTTGGCGGGTTCAGAGGAACCGCTCGAGCGATCAGCCTGACGTTTCTCCTGGCCTTGGCATGGTAGATCGGGGGTCGACTTGGGCCGACGGTTTGGGTTCGACTCGGGAACCGGTGTGCCTGGAGTCGGGCTGGAAACAAACAACTTGTAGGAATTGTCCGTGGTGCGTGGTTGCTTCCATGGGAAGCGCCGTAGGGTCATGCAGCAGAAGATGATCGCCAGCGACCAAACATCCGTAGGGCGGGGGTCATATTTCTTTTCGTCGTACACCTCGGGGGCAAGATATGGGTCCGAGCCGACAATTCCTAGTTTGGGAGTCAGAAACGCTCAATTGTTGGCGGACCAAGATTGTATACATACCTGAAGCGGGAACGATGTCGTTTTCGAAGGGATAACGGAAGACAACGGCACTTCCAAAGTCAATGAGCTTCATGATGCCTCGATCATTGACCACCACGTTGTCCAGCTTCAGGTCCCGATGAGCGAGACCCATGCCGTGCAAATAAGCCACGCCGCTCAAAATCTGTTTGAAAGAGCATGCAATCTCCTCTTTGCCCATCTTTCCCGTCATGACGATGGCAAAGAGATCATATGGAGCATATTCCATCACCTCATACCAGTGAGTCCCTTCCTGGATGATATCCAGTGTCTCGATGATATTGCCGTGATGCAGAGTAGAACCAATACAGAACTCCGCGGTGACCTTCTTGGAATACTCCTTCAAGGTCTCCCAGTTGTGACGATCTCGAAATTGCTTCACGGCGAAGGTGACACCGTCACTGTTCCGCTTTAAGAGACGCACCGAGCCGCCAGCTCCAGACCCAAGCACCCTGCCCATTTTGCCATACTTGGAGTTCAATCCGTGATCATCGGCAAATGGAACATTGTCAGGGGCCATTTGGTATGGGGTGTTCTTTCCAGATCCTCGGCTCGACTTTTTGGGCATTGATGTTGGGGATTCAGCCCGCTTGTGGCGGTGACCCATTTTGAAGAATCGCTTCAATTCAGACATGGAGCCATGATGATGATGACTCTGGTGCTTGTCACTGACTTGGTCCTTCTTGCCACCAAATATACTCCGCTTGTCACTGGGCTTGCTGAGGTCACTGGCGCTGGCTGATCGGGGAGTTCCCGGGCGGAATGACCGCTTCGCATCCCGACTGCTAAAGATGAACCGAGGATCCAGCTGAGCGAGATTTTTCGACTGAGGTGGGCGCTTGTTGCGTGCGTAAGGGTCATTGGGTTCGCCTACTGGGGTCATAGCCCCGGGTGGAGTCAGAGACTCTCTTGGAGTAGCAGGTGGGCTTTCTTCTTGCGAACTAGTATCGTTTCCAATGAAGAACTGTGCACGGTGCTTGGGGAGTTGCACGACATGAGAGCTTCGATCAGAGGCCTCACTGTGTCTGTTGGGCAACTGATCGGTGGATGAGGGTCGGGGGGTTGAGGATCGGGGGATGTCATGCTTATCGGCTGAAGTCACCGGGGGTGAGGCATCTGGGGTGAACTCGGTTTGGACATGAGGCCGGCTGTGAGCTTTTAGGGAGGAACCCTCCGCTCTGCCTTCACGTGAACGAGTTGCAGCTGGCGTAAGAGGAGGGGACTGTACGGCGGAAACGGGGGGAGATGCATGAGGAGAGGCAAAAGAGCTAGTTCCATGCCCACTCCGATCACTCGACTCGCGAGAGGCGACCTATTGTAGAACCCCGGGTTAGCATGACAGCTACTCGACAGTGCAAGGGACGGCCCCGAGAAGAGTTTAGTGGTTGTTCGTCTCTCTTGAAGCACGGGGCAATTGAAGTAACCCGGAGACAATTCCACGGTAGATTAGAATTATGAGGTACGTACCCTGGAGGAAGGAAGAGACATGGGATCGAAAGAGAAGTTCCGTAGACGGGCCTCCTGAAGCTGTGAGCTCTGCAGATGCGAGCTCTGCAAACTCATAGCCAGCGATCGTAACGCCTCTTCGTCTGATTGCTGCTTCAGCGGCTGCGAGTGTTGAGGTTCTGGTTCCGGAGAGAGTGCCTGCGATGGTTCAATCTCCTCCGTGATGGACGAGAAACGGACCTGGCTGGGTTGGACTTTGGACTTGGCATCGGCGTCACCGGGCTCCGGGGCCTGGCCGGACATCTTGGCGGGACTTTGAGTGGGTTGGAATTCTGTCGACAGAGGAATGCGTCAGATGGGAATTTGCAAGGTACGCTATCACCATCGATCAACGAGCCAAGACATACCTGAATTAGAGTTGGAAGTCATCTCAGACGTCATAGTCTGCACCAACTCAGAATGCGGGACACATGCCCCTCACAGTGAAAGCCTGGTAAGAAGCAGGGTCGCGAACCGAATGCCGATAGTCGCAAAGCAAAGAATTGACGATTGAAGCCGACGTGAGCAACGGGCAGATCGATTACGTGGGAGGCGAGGCAAATCTCTTCCCGTGAACTTTTCGCCAATCCGATAAGAGCCGCGCCGCACTTGGATAGGAGAGAGGAAAGAGAAAGGAGAATACGGAGAGGCAGTAGAGAAGCCAAGGAGCAGAGCAGAGAGTAGAGAGCAGAGAATAGAGAAGCAGAAGCAAACAAGTTCAAGGAAGAGGGGAGAACGGGGAGTGGGGGTTGCCCAGCCAAGTCCGGTAATTGTCAGCCTTGTGTTTTGTTACTTCTACTCTTCTACTCTTCTGCTCTTCTTGTTTTGCTTTCATTCGTTTCCTTTACTTACCTCGTGCTTGCTGTTTACTTCTAACCCATTTCTTTGTTCTATCCCGGACCTCGTTCTCTATTCCCCGGAACAGCGCGGAGCCTTGCAGGATTCGATGATGTCGACAGTACCGTCCGCATACACGTGCCGACTTCCCGGAGACTCCGCGAACAGGGATCGATGAGCTGCAAGCCATCGCTTGTTGCGGCTTCTGTGCATTCCAATCTGGAATTTTGCCTGAACAGGCTAGTTTATTTTCATGTTGCCCCGTTTACTTTACGGTCCAGATCTGGGGATCTCTAAATACCTGCCAAGCGACATGATCAGCGGGTTGCGTACTGAATCCTTGGCCTTCATTCTCGCCAAGCCCTTGACTGTGTTACCAGGCCAAGAACTCCGCTCCTCCATAGAGCATGTCCTCTGCTGAGTGATCAGCTCTGAGGTTGTGCGATGCGCAGGTCACACAGCGTCTCGGGGGGTGTTCATAGAGAACCTAACTGGACCAACTGAGAAAGAATTCTGACATCCTGTGATCAGCACATATAGCCCCTTGAGCATATTTTATCCAGACATGTCGGTGATTAGCCGGTCGCTTCGTCTTACATATACAGCTGACCTTCAGTCTGACCCTTAGCGCGTCACATCCCCCCAAGATACCCGTAGACAATAAATGTGGCTGTATTGTAGCTGCCTTATGGCATGCAAAATGCCCCTCGGATTGCTACCAATCGCTATGACATGCAACCTGAAAAAGAATCGGTATCGTACAGCAGGCGGGTACATCCCCCCCTGTCCCAGTAAAAAACGCCCGGCAAAAGATATCAAAATCACAACAAGTAGGCCCTGAAAGCGCTACCCCAGATGGCAATGGTCGCCGGTAATTATACAATCAAACCCATCTCTGCGTTCGCTCATGGGACAACCTGGATGCCAATCGACTTGGCCTGGGACATGACACTCTTGCACAGTCCCTCAAGCGACAAGCCCGATAACCGGGTCTCTGTCTGCTTGATCTTGGCGATTTCATAGACATGCTTGAGGGAGATCTTGCCGCAGATCTCGTGGCCGGGGTTCATGGCGCCACGCACGCGGTTCTTCCGGGGCTCGACATTGGCGGCGTTGAGCAGGAGGTAGGTGGTGGTCGGGGTGCGGAGGTCGAAGGCGAAGGACCGGTCGGGGCGGACTGTGACACGCGCGGGAATGGGGACACCGGTGTTGATGTGAGCAGTGCGGGCGTTGAATTCCTGCGATAGTCAGTATATAGGCCGAGCTTCGATAACGTTGGGAGTATCAACCTTGCAGAAGTCCATGGACTTGACACCCTTACTACCCAGGGCCGGACCAACAGGCGGACTGGGACTGGCCTGACCAGCTCCGACGATGAGCTTGACGAACTGCTCCTTGGCCAATGCGTTGCGAGCCATGATGTGGTTCTGTGGTGTCTGTTCAACTAAGAAAGATGAATCCGGACGAAGATTTTCTGGAAGGGGACGGCAGATCGTGATTGGCCGGGGCGGCAAGCGAGCTGAACCCAACGTCATGATGCTCTTCTGTTTTGAGCTTCATTTCTCTTCTTTGAATCTTCTCTTCTAGTGATCTGTTGCTTTTGATATCTCTGTGGATTGATATCTGTGTTGTTTCACATCTACAGTTGCTGCATCTTGATCTGGTGCCATCTCCAGCTTTCCATCAAACTAGACTTTCGGGCCCCGCGTCGATCTCTCCTTCACCTCCCTTTTCCTTTTTCTTTCCTCTGATCTTCTATCAATCATCGAATCTTCATCATGAACTGGCTCAAGTCAACGTACGTTCCGTTCGACCCTTCTGTGCTGTGGTTACTGACCGGATCCATGCGGGCAGTCTCTCCGCCGTGGTGGGCACCGAGGAGCCTATCTATGGCCCCGAGGCCATCCAGTCTGTTGCACAGCAGACTGAGACTACTCCTTATTCCGAGGTGAACAAGGATCTTTTACGCTGGCGCGCATACTCCTACACCAATGTCGAGACCCAGACCTTCTACATCATGGCAGACAATGGGACAGTGGTCTTCGTCCAGGTGATCTACAGCAACATTGTGTAAGGACCTTCTGAGCCAGTCCTTTATACTGTGATGCTTTCCAAAGCATTACAAGGTTAGCTTTTGCAGCAGCTGACTGATATGATCGGAACTATAGCGGAATCCACACCACCGCCCAGTTCAACGTGAAGATTTTCGACCTCAGCGGAAAGGGCGACAACAAGTGGTTCTCCGACCCTCTCCACAACTTCATGTTTGACGAGCACATGCTCTCTTTCGGTGCCGACAACCTGTCCCTGACCCTCAACGAGGAGGGCAACGCCTACCACATCAAGTCCACTGTCAACAACGGCAGCATCGTGGATCTCAAGTTCACCCAGTCCGCACCTGGTTTCGTCGTCGGCAAGGATGGTACTTCATACTTCGGAACCGACCCCAAGAACCCCTGGGGCTCCATGCGCCATGCCTTCTGGCCCCGCTGTACTGTCGAGGGTAACATCGCCACCAAGGATCAGACCTACGATCTGGCCGGTCGTGGTGTGTTCATCATGGCTCTGCAGGGCATGAAGCCTCATCACGCAGGTAAGAAGCCCGAAATCCGATCAACTCCGAGCTATCCGGAGCTCATCCGCTAACGAAAATCTAGCTGCCCGCTGGAACTTCATCAACTTCCAGACCCCCACCTATTCCGCCATCATGATGGAGTACACCACCCCTCCTTCTTATGGCTCCACCAAGGTCAACGTTGGCGGTATTGTCAAGGACGGTAAGATCATCTACGCCGGCACCACCAACGTCGTTACCCACACAGAGGTCGGTCAGGACGAGGGCAGTGATTGGCCCGCGCCCAAGGCGATCAAGTGGGAGTGGAGCGGCAAGACAACCGACGACAAGGAGTTCACAGCCGAAGTGGACGGCCCTCTCGGCTCCCGCCTTGACCGCATCGACGTCATGGCCGAGGTGCCCGGCTTTATCAAGAGCATTGCTGGCAGTGTTGCCGGTACCCGGCCTTACATCTTCCAGGTATGCACCCTGCCGTCTACTTGGTTACATTTATATCTAACATTCTACGCAGTACTCCCCCCAGGAGAAACTCTCATTGAAGCTGAAGCTCGGCGACGAGGAGATCACCGAGGAGGGAACCATGTTCTCGGAGTCGACCTTCATCTCGTAAAGGCCCGATCCAACTCGCGTACATAAGACATGATCTTCCTGTGAGGTCTTGTTGGCGTTCATTGTTGATGATTTCGTGATGCTACATTTATGTCCCGGGATTCGGCTTAGCTGTTTCTCCTTTGTGCGGACCAGATAATCCACAGACTGTATACAGGATACCTAATGCTATTGACCATATTCTGAATACTCTTGTAAGCCTGTAAGGCTAGACTCTCCAGCCTTACTATGACTCATAGAAACATAGTACAGGTAGGAAGATTGGATGCAAAGTACAGATTGATTGTGTAGAAAGATGGACCTCCCAGTCTTCGCAAAGAGAGAAAATGTACAAAGAACGACAATGAAATACAAAGTACATGCGATTCAATTCGAATCAAATAAGAAACAAAATCATCTCCAGCAGCTGTTGGCCTGCCAGCAGTACAACACAACAAACAAAAAGAACAAGAAAAGCACAGAGAAGGCAAAAAAGAACGGAACCCCCTTAATTATCAACCATCAACTGCTCCCCCTCATCTAGAAGGGTAGTAACACGCGAAAGATCAGAAATCATCTTCCGCCCATGGCCAACAAGCAACAGTTTCTCCGCATTAGCAGGAAGGCCCAAATAAGTAGGCGGTTCACGCTCAGGTAAGCCGTTAACCCAGGCAATGAAGTCACGCATGCTAGTCGTACTCGGGAGAGTGAGCAGATCATCGTTCTCAACGCCCGAAACGAGCTTGTACTCGTCCTCGAAGGCCGCAGGCGTGAGGAAGCTAGTGACCAGGTTCTCGAGTTGCTGGTAGTCGCCTGCGTCGTCAATCTTGCCGCCGTACATCTCGGTTATAAGCGTGCGGATCATTTCCCAGGGGATCTTTTGTGGTGCTACGTTTGACCGACCTTGGGCGACTGTGTCAACCCAGTGGTCGATTATGTAGGCGGAACATTCGTACTAGGGGTTTGCGTCAGTATACGGGGTTGAGATATGTGGGTGGATTGTTGTGTGTCTTGGGGGAGNGGGGGGTGCTTACGTCGCTGTCATTGAACTCCCAGAAGCCCTTCCAGCCGAGGCTGGGAGCGTAGCGGAGTCTCTCTTGGACTACGGCGTGCAGGAAGCAGAGGAGGAGGTAGACGCGAGCCTTTTCGACGGGTGCCTTGCTGGCTCTCACGTTGAGAGAGGAGAGTGAATCCTTCATGTTGGCGCGGACTCCGGCGGGCTGTTCGTACATAAGCACGCGCGAGGCACGGATCAAGTTGACTGGAATCTTAGGGCTGGACTCCATGGACAGGAATAGGCGGAATTCCTTGTGGGGCTTGAGGGAGTCGAGTCTCTTTTCGAGACTCTGCAGCCAAGAAGGCGCCAGATGGACGTTCTTGACTAGGACCCAGTTACCGGCGGCGGCTGCGTTGCTGATGGCCTTGTCGGCGCTTTCAAGACCCTCGTTGGAGCCCATGGCAATGTTGGCGCATGTGGCGTGGGTGCGCTCGACTAGGGCGTCGACCTTGTAACTGGCGTCGAAGCCGGGACTGGAGCTGAGGGCAATTGGTCTGGTTGCGGTGACTTGGTCGACTACATCCTTCAGGTCGCTGCTGCCTTCGAAGAGCTCACGGCCGAATACGGCTTCAATGAAACGCTCGGCTGTTGGGACGAATCTGTCCATGCGGCAAAGTTTGACAAGGAGCAGGGAGCGGAGGAGCTGGTCGAGTTGCGAGGTGTTCTCATCCCACATGACTGGGACGGCGTTCTCGGCAAGTTCCTCGGTGAAGAAGCGGTCCCATTGCTCTTGGGTAACATTGGCAAGCTGCTCTTTGAAGAGAGACATGTTGGACAACTTGGCAAGCACATGGTTGCGGGCATCAACGGAGGTTGAAAGATCCACGCCTTCGACTGACTCGTCCAGAACACGGTCGAGGATGGTCCTGTCCATAATGAATGGAGTAGCTTGAGCAAGCAGGATGGCGAGAGTGATCCGGTCCTTCTGAACGAGACCTAGCGAGGTTCGCTGGTAAGCCATGATGAACAGATCCTTGATAATGATCTGAACGCGGGTAGAATGATCCTTTTCCTGTGCAAGTCGCTTGTTCTGGTAGAGAACAGAGTTGAAAATGTCCACGAAGTATTGCAGTGAGAATTGGTAGAAGTGGTTGATGTGGTGAAGCTGCTCCAGAACGGCAAAGACAGCACTGCATGAGCGAGCAATGATGCTGTACTTCTGCGTGACACTATCCACCTCAGACATGACACCTTCGGTCTCGGTCATCTTCTTGGAGATATCGGCAGCCTCCTTCTTGAGAGTCTCGAGAGTCTCGATGACATTGTCGTCATCAAGAATGTTTCCACGAGACTCGTTGAGAGCTTGCAAGAGGCGCTTCTCGAGTTGTCGAAGGTGGACCTTGAACTCTCCTTGCATCTTGACAAGGTTGTTACGTCGTTCATCGACATCAGGTCGCTCGAACTTCAGAACATCATTCAGTGATTGTGTCTGCAAGCTGCTCTGGGTGACTGTAAAGTTGACAAATGTGGTACGACTGCAGATATCAGGCGGGAACGAGGCCGAAGGATCACGCGTCGAAAGGAACAGCTTGAAGGAAGGCGAGAAATCGATTTCCTGTCTGCCCAACTGAATCAAAACACGACCGCCGGTCTTTTGGTATTCCTTGTTGAGAACGTGGTTGAGAATCGGGTCCAGGTGCTCGGCATCCTGGATGAGAATGGGGTTTCCGAAACGCAAGGCGCTCTCCAGTTGCTTGACAAAGGAATCGTCCAAGAAACTCGTGACGGTAAGCTTGCGGTCTTTGCTCTCCTTTTGCAGGAATTCTGTGATGCGGCCCGATGGGTCAACAATCAGAGGATATCTGTTGAACTTCTTCAGGATGATAGCATTCTCCGTGCAGAGGTCATCAACGGGGAGAGAGTGGTCTTGCCAAGTCAGGCGCTCATCTGCGTTGGACAGATATTCCGTGATAGGGTTGTGAGGTTTGAAGGCAATGCCAGAGGCCGCCAGTTGGTGAACCCAGTCGTCAATCATTGCCCGACGGAACTGCTGATCATAGAGACCAGCGTATGCAAGGAACGCAGCAGCAATGAGGACATCGCCAACAAGAGTGTTGATTTGGGTTTCGAATGACTTGCTGCCATCCTCCCAACGCTCACGCTCGGAGGCCAAACTGTCCAACAGACGAACACTGCGGTCGACCTTGAACTGGACCCGGGACATCTCGGTCTTGATCGCCTGGGTTTCACTAATGAGAGCTGCATACTCGGCCTTGTAGGTGGCAATGCTGGATTCGAGGCTGTTGATGGTGTTGACGATAGCCTGGGCTTCGGCCTTGGTTTGCATAGCCTGGTCCTCGAGCTGATCGACCTCTGCACGAAGAGGACCAACGCGATCAAGGATTTCAGAGTAGGCGACCTGGGCTGTGACCCATTGAACCAGGGGACCACAAGCCTTACTGGCGCGGTTGACTCGCTCGTACGTGAAGTCCTCCTTGGAGAAGAACTCATTTTGCATCTTGATGCGAAGGTTGCGCGTCATTGAAACCTTACTATCGTAGTTCACGATGCTGGCAATGAAATCATCACGGCGAACAATACCTTGGATGGCCTTCCAGCTGTCGACTCTGTGTCCAAGGAGAACACAAACGGCTTCCAGGGAAAGCCGGACACCACCCGGAGGTGAAGCCATACCTCGAACTTCAGTGAGCTGTTGACGCTTGATGTTGCTGACACTCTGCTGGGCTTCCAAGACGGCGGGTTCAGCCTGAGCCAAGTCGTTCAATACAACTTCCTTCCGGGTTGCCACTTCCTTTTCTTGTATCTCTAGTGCTTCCTGCACCTCCAATGAGGCCTGCTTCCGCTGTTCCGCTTCCTGTTGATCAGCGACCATACGCTGCAGTTTCTCGTTCGCTTCTGTGTCCTTCTTCTCCAATTGTGTCTTCTTCTGGGCCAGACTGACCCGAAGGTCGCTGACCTTGTCGACGGTGTCACGAAGCTTCTCAAGACCAACGTTCAGATGGCGCTGTTGCTCCTCTAGGTCTTCACGCTTTTCGTTGAACAGGTTCACGTACTGTGCAACGAAATCGAGGTAATGGCGAGGAGTGAGGAAAGTCGCCCGACCTTGCTGCTTCTGTAGACGTCCATTGAACCTGTGCAAGGAGTGGTGGATATACACCATAGAGTTGATGACAGCGTCTCTGTGTGTGGCCGGGAGTGACAATTCTCTGTATGCTACAGGGATGCTGTCGAGCGCGACAAAATTGGGCTTATCCAGATCAACCGACTGTGTGAGCTCGGAGCCGACCTGGAACAAGGCTTGATCAGACCAGTCTCCCATCCAGTTTAGCACGCAACGGTTGAACAAGGCGGGACTAGTGGCGGCCTTCGAAGATAGACCCTCCTCCGGTGGGTTCATGGTGAACACAACGTGCAAGTTCTTGACAATTTGCTGAGTGAACCATTTGTATAGCTCCTCCTGCGAGTCGAGCAGCAGACCTTGGCGCTGGGCACCTTCTTTACAGGCGGTCATCAGGGAAGAGAATTCATCACCTTCAAACAGACCGGGTACCTCGGCGTTGGCAAGCAGGGTGTTCATGCGTTCAAGGAAACCAGAGTCGAGAACGTTTGATTCGTCCATGATGAAACAAATCTTCTCGCCCTTGCACCCTGCCCGGCGAAGGACACTTCTTAAGTCATCATCAAAGTCCTCGGAAGAGTATTTTCCGTGGACCTTGATTTGGAACACCTTCAGGCCATTCATCCAGGCGACGAAGCGAGATAGTGTCGTCTTTCCACTGCCGCTCACACCGATCAAGATCAAATGGCCCTGAGGTTGGCGGAAGACTCGGTCGATGCGGAGCGCATGTTCAAGCACATCGTTGAACAGCACAAGCGGAACATCCACCTCTTCCTCACAGAAAGTCTTCAGACGTGCCTTGACAAAGTCACGCAGTTTCTCCTGTTCGACTGGCACGTAGTTCTTGGACAGCCAGTTGGAGAACAGGATGGGGCCCTTGAGTGCTTCTTGATCATCAATCGTAGGGAAGTGCTCCAAGGCGATGCGACGAACAGCATCTGCCGTCCAAGCTCTCTCATCCTCGGCCACCAGTCTGTCCTGGAATAAGCGCAAAGCTTCGTGCGCCCAGATACGGACCAGACCCTCAATAGACAAGCTCTCCAACGGTTTGATTGCCTCATAAATACCACGAACCCATCGGGTAAGCTCACGGGGCGAGTACACATAGTGAGGTTGGATCTGGGGTGTGAATCGGGTCTGGGATTCGAGGTAGAATTGAACCATGGCCTTGGTAAGTGCCTCGGAGTATCCACGCAGTAAGGGAAGTATTTTAAGCACAGCCGAGTTGAAGGTACCATAGATCTGGTTAAGAGAGATCTCGCCAGGGTAGTCGACCATGATGAGTGGTGCGTGACGCAGGAATCTTTCGGCCATGGGCGTACGACCAGCATCCGTCGGAGGGTTACAAGCACCAACGAATTGAATGCGCTCTAGGCTGACCCAACTCTTGTCGGAAGATCTCCAGAAGCCATTCTGCTCAACAAGCTGACGCAGGAAAGAAATGGCGCGCTGTGTGCCGTAGCGATCGGGGGCGGGAAGGTTAATCTCGTCACAGAATATGACGAGCCAGCGGCCGATCTGGTTAGGAGACATCACCACACCGTTGAGAGTCTTCTTGTACTCGCAGTATTGCTCGAAGGTCTTGATCAAAAGGTCCGGTGTAGTGGCGCTCGAGAAGTTCAGGCCAACGACTTCCATGTTGGGCAATTTCCTGAGCGCGGCGAACAATGTCATGGTTTTACCAGACCCAGGAGGACCACAGAGCAGCAAGGGCTTGTGTTCGGCAAGCCAGGAGTACAATACATCCTCGTGACGGATTGTATCCACGGTAGGGATAATCACGTCGGTTTGGGTGACGGAATGCGTGTTGATGTCAATCGACGGTACCTGCGACTGCCAGCTGGACCAGTCGGACTTGGGAAGAGTAACATCATAGTCAATGAGAGATGACTCGCCGTCTGGCGGCAGGTCAATTGTAGACATTCCAGACACATATTGGCCGAAAGCCTTGCGATCGCCGAGAGGACAATCACCTGTCAATGACCAGACCAGTGTCAAGAGAAGCTTCTTGGAGATGTACGACTCGATTTGCTCGGGGTCCAGAGGGAAGTCGACGTGCTGGACATTGTACTCTAGAACGTTGCGGCAGGCCTTGTTCAACAAGCTGAAGAGAGTGTTAAGGGCACGGATGTCAGTGAACTCCATGATATGGTTGTACTTTTTGGCTTCCTCGAGGGCCTTGAGGACAAGATCGTCGGCCTCCAAGAACTGCTTGAGGATGGTTGCAACTGTGTCTTGGGCGTCTTGAGTGCGGACAGCGGCTGTTCCAGCAGGAGCACTGTCTTCATCTAGATCCTCGAAGGTCTTGGTTCTGAGACTCTCAACATAATTGGTGATCATCATGGTAGGAGTGACAGTATCCTCGTTGAACCAAACCATACCGCAACGACTGACGGTGGCCAGAGTGGCATACTTCAGACTCTCAACTTCAAACATAATGCGAACATTCGAAGGCAAGTTGAGACGTTCTCCGTTGGGCAGAGTAAGTAATTTGTTGTCATCAAGAACACTGTTCAAGTTCTCAACCCATTCAGGGTCAACGTCACCGTCGAAAACGATCCAATGACGCTTGCTGTCCTCACCACGAAGGTTATCCACGATCTTTCTCAGGATACCAGTGAAGAGACCGTCTGTCCATTCACGGGTGGTGCTGTCGAGGTTACCATAAAGGGCCTCCTTGGACATGACCTTGGAATCAATGATGTGAGAAACACCTTCGACGCCTTCAATGCGTTGCATCGCTTGGAGGAGAATCTTCCAGGCCGCTGATTTACCAGATCCAGACTTTCCGACCATCATAACACCGTGGTGAATGCTTTGGATCTGGTAGAGCTGCAGGGCCTTGGTGATCCACATATCGCTGTCAACGAAATGCTGCTCGTGCGCAATATCACGAATGGCCTGGGTGAGTTTCTCAAAGTTGGCAGGCACGTAATCCACGCCAGGGAAGTCTTGCACCTGGATTTCCAACATTGTTTCAACATCCTCCTGGACCAGCTTGGGGGCGATGGTTTCACGCAGACTTTGGACGATGATTTGAGGCTCGATCACATCATCGGGCCCTAACTCTCCTGCGGCAGTCGCAAGACGAGTGCGCTTGAGGCCACCAGAGGAAACAAGCACACTCTTCAATGCACGGAGACCAAAGTCGTAGTGGGCTTGCTTAGTGAGGCGCGAGGCACAGTGGTCGAAGAAGGGAACGGTCTGCTTGGACAAAGGCTTGGCTTGCTTGAAACCTTGGGAGAAGAGCATGACTTCGGCAATAAGTTCCTTATCTGGCTTGGACATAGCAACGCTGCGGAACAACTTCTTCAAGTTGTCCGGCAAGTTTGAACGACCAGCATAGCCAGGGTTCATTGTAATGAAGATTCCAGTATTGGCATTCACAGCAAGGCGTCTGCCAACAAGTTCGATCTGGGACTTGCTTTCGTCTCCACCGTTCTTCAGACCAATCTGGATATTCTGAATCTGCTGAGAAACAGCCGAGAGGATACGTTCCTCCAGACGGTTGAACTCGTCAAAGCAACCCCATGCACCAACTTGACAGATACCGAGGAAGATACGACCCATGGCCTGGAAGTCGAATGTGTCGTCACAACAGAAAACAAGAGTGAAACGGCCAAGTTGCAGACCAAGCGCTTTGACGGACTCGGTCTTACCAGTACCAGCAGGCCCATAGGGAGAACCACCCAGTCGCTGGCACAGGGCTTGGGTAAGGGTGAGGAAACAACGATCTGTGAGCGGAGTTCGCACAAGACGCTCCGGCACACCCAAGTACTCGAATCCATAGTTGAGCTTTGCGTTGGCCATGTGTACATACAAGCGCTGCAGGAAGTCACCCTCGGCTTGGTAAACGTAACGCATCTGAAGGAGCCATAGGTAGTGTGTGGGTGTCGAGGCATTGAGACTGACGAGTTTCGAAATGCAGTCACGCTGGTGAACGAATTCTGTGATCATATGCTCACACTTCTTGCGGGTAATCGTATCGAGTTCACCAAGCACGGTGGCAGCCAGAAGCTCCAGGATTCGAACTTCGGCATCGTACAGCGCCGGGAGGTTAGTACCGCCTTCTTCCAATGCTTTTTGCACTGAGTTGGTCCAAACAACTTGGCTAGCAAGGACCACAATTTGGGCAGGGTAGTTAGCCAGGAAATCGCTGAAGGCCGTTCGGTCAACCTCAGTAGCATTGTAAAGAGTATCGAACTGCTCGACAGCCTCAGCAAGAAGCTCTGCCAGAGTTAATTTCATGTTGTTCTCTAGCGCAGAAAGCCAGTCATTGATTCTGGGGGTCTTGACGAGGTTGACTTCCTTCTTGAGGCGAACCTCCTCGCCCTCCTTGGAGGTGAATCCAACGATGTTGTTATCGTCATCCATGACAAGGCCTGACAATCCAGCAAACATCTTCTTGAAATGCTTAGCGACGCGGAAGATGTCGTTGCTGTTACCGATAATCTCCAACAGATCCTCATCTCCAACAAAGTAGAAACGAGGGAAGGAGACACGCTCGCGCTCCAGATATTCACCGAGAGCCTTTTGAATCTTGTTGAGCAGTTCAGCCAATCTCTCCAAGGACTTCTGTACACCAGTGATAGCGAGCACATCCAAAACAAAGGAGGACTTGTACACCTTCTTCATCACAGCGAAGAATTCGGAGTTGATGTTTTGGAAACGGCTTGATTCCAGAGGGAGGAGATGCTTGATATCGGCGTTGCCAGTGAAGACACCTTCGAGGTAGACCCATTGGCGCTGGACATCAATCCAGACGTCAAATAGAACATGGACCCGGTTCAACTTATCTTCCCAAGAAGTAGCCTCTTCCTCGAATTCCTTGTAGTACGGGGAGTGACGCATGGCCTGGAGGGAGTTGAGGTTCTCACTGCATTTGGCGAACAAATCGTCGAAGCCTCGAATGAGACGGCACTTATTCTGATAGTTGACCAGGTCAAGGGAATAATTTTGCCAAGTCTCGCGAACGGACTTGAGGAACTCTTCCAATGCCATCTCACCTTGGGCCTGTGCGATGATATTACGAATCACAGTCTCACTTGTGGTGAGCTGCAAGTCCCAAACATCACCAAGAGTCAACGAGACAAGAGAAAATCGCTTGCCAGGCTTGAGGGTCTTGTAGATCTTCTGCCAGTGTCGTTCCTTGACAGCCTCGGATTTCATGTCAGAGAGAAGGGTGTTAACCTTCAGCAGCTGACGAAGAATATTCTGGATATGCTCAAAAGCGGCATACTGTCTCATCCGACTCGGCATCTCCTTGGTCAACTTGATCAAATTGTCAAGAGCTTGGCGGAGCTTCCTGGGCTGCACACTAGTCCATAGTCCGTCACGAAGATCGTTAAGATTCTGCCAAATAGTCGACAGTGCACCCCAGACAGAGGTAAAGTCCTGGACCTCTTCGAGAATTGGAGGTAAAGATGACTCGGCGCTAGCAGGCAAGTCCAGAGCTTCTTTGGCCTTAGAAACCATCTCAAACTCCGACTGGAGGGATTCAAGGCGAGACTGGAAAGTCTTCAGAGTCTTGGATGCTTCTTCTGGTGGAATAGTTCCAGAAACAGGCTTCTCGTCATTCCACTGGGAAATGACCTCGGCGATCTTGTCGCTGATAACTCGGTCTTCGGCGGTGATTTTTGCACGCAGGCCTTCTGTTTGATCATGGACGATCTTGCTCTTGCGAGTAAGCAACTCATTGAGAGCCGCCCACTCACCATCGACGTTCTCAACGTGGAGCCAGTCACTGGGGAATTGGTAACGCTGACGGGATAGTGTAGTTTGACCTTGGCGGAATAAATCGACCTCAGGCTCCCAGACGCGAGTCTTGCGCTTGCACTGCTGAACAATGGTGATGAAGGAAACAGCATGCGCCGTCGAAGAGGCTTCCAGGGTCTGGCCTTCCAGATCACGACGTGCAGCAGCGATCTCGGAGTGAACCTCTCGCATACGACCGCCGAGTTTGGCACCGAACTTGAGAAGGATCTCATGCTGCCACTGGTCGTACTTAGCATTCACCTTGGTCTGGACTTGTTCGTAATCAATTCTGATGTTGCCGAATGAGCGGCCAACTTCGGAGGTATCAAAGGTAGCACGGCTCTTTCTGATCTCCTGGAGCAATTGGAGCCATTGAGAGAGATCATCACCCAAGATGTCGTAGACCTGCTCAGACCGCAGATCCCAAAGTGACTGGAACTGCAGCCACTTGTCGACATACTCTGATACTTCCTTTAGTCTGCTCTCCACAACGCCGTAAACTTGATTGAGCTCATCGGTACAGTGTTGGGGGAGGTTGGCGAAGCAGACTTCGGACAGGCGCACATTCTTTTGCACTCCAATGGAGATCTGGTAACGCGAAGGCTTGATCTTCTCCAGGTTGCAAATCACACCGAGCCATGTATCAAAGTGGGAGAACCAGCTTGCCCGTGCAAATTGCAGTGGTGGGTCCAGGTGGAGGACTTGGTTCTTCATGGAAATCTCATGGAAAAGATTCGGGAACTGAATGTTGTACGCCATGGTTTCGGCATCCGCCGTCGCCGCAACTGTAGTGCTAGAGGATCCGATCTTGCTTTCATGGAAAGCTTCAATCCACTCACGCACAGCGCGATGAAGACGCTCCCGGAGAATGTTTTCGATCTTTCCGTTAAGTTCAGCAACCCAGTACCCGAGGTTGACATAGTTCTCGAGGTTGAGCTTATCAACAGCAACCTGGATGGTGTCCAGGCGCTGCTTGAAGGCCGCGGCATCGTACGCGCACGTCTTGAGTTCGTGGATGGATTTCTGGATGTTCTCGTTGATAGACGAAAGCACGGCAGTCTTGGACTGAAGCACAGATGCCGAGCCAGCAAACTCGCGGACAAATTGAACGTGCTTACTCTCGGTACGACTAGGCATGGAAGTATCGATAGCACCGTTTGCCAATGCTGATTGCTTGACGTGGAGTTCGTATGAGTGAACAAAGGACTCCCACCGAAGAGGAATACCCTTGGCAACCATTGCCTGCGAATCGTTCAAGTAGCCATTAAGCAGGATGGCGACATCTGACATGGAGGCAATTGTTCGGTTTGTCTGTAGCAAAGTCCGGACACTCTCCATCAAGCTAATGGCGTAAGGGTAGACACGCTTCGCCTCCTTGGAGATGTTGCTGACAGCATGAGGAACCTGGAAGTTAAGCCAAATTAGGTTGCGGACCTCCTTGAAGAGTGCGATGATCTGAGCGTCGAAGTTGACCGTGAGTTCCAGCGTATTTCCTGCCGCCCGGTTGCGAACAACACTGAAGAGTCGTCCAGAGATCGTGATATGGCGTCGCTGAACATCCCACAGCCATGACTCGAATACCGGGCGTGTGTCGAGCTTCTTGCGGAAGAGGTTGCTCTCAGCCTGCAGCTTTTGTCCCTCGGTGTGCAGGTGCCAGTCTTCACCAAGGACATTTTCCACTTTGCGCATATACCCATCAAGCTGTCGTTCGATCTGACGGGTCCAGATGATGGCACCCGACACAGGCGGAAGGTCACGCAGTTGGGCCATCGCATGAGCTTCCGAATGACCATACTGTTGCTTGAAACGCTCGTGGAGAGCGCTGATGTCTCGCTTAACATTGTCAATCAACTGCGTTTGATACTCGCCAATGGCACCACGAATCTTGGGGCGGACGAGCAGTGCATTGAACTTGGAGAAAACACGGAACATCTCATTGGCGTTTTTTGCTGTAGCCAGACGATCACGCAGGCGGGCAATGATGGAGTTTTCCACACGAGAGGTACGCTCACTGTACGCGATTTCCTGGCGCTCCCATTCTAGAGATCCCTCGGGGGAAACATCCAGTACATCCACACTTTGTAGAGCAGCGTAGGCATGCGCAACTTCCTCTACGGCATCGACATCACCAATCTCCTCCACGATGACAGCCCCGTCGCCTTCAACAGTCCCAGCATCAGCTGAAGAAGAGCTCTTTGGTCCGAGAACGTTGATGATGGTTTTCTGGAGCTGTTCATGGTTGACTCGGAAAGTGTCAACATACTTAAGTCGCTCACGGGTCTTGTCGTGTCTGGCGTTGATCTTGATTGGAATGAACTTTTCGTTGCGGCGTCTTGTTGACTCACGGGCAACGTTGGTAAATTCCTTGAGGTTCTCATCCCAGGTACGCCAAATCGCTTGCGTCACCTTCATCAACGACCGGAACTCGCGGTAGTCCAACTGCAAGATAGTGTTTCCTTTGATAAGCTCATGGATTTTCTTGTCGAGATCTCCCGAAATGGCCTCGACGAGCGAGAGGGCCCGCTTAATCGGGTAAGGGCAAATTTTCAATTTCTTGTTCAGGTGAGTGAAAATCAAGTTCAGAGACTCTTGAACTTTTTGCAGCGAGGTTGCAGAAAGAAGCTCGTCGAGGGGGAAGTCTCGCATCAATTGATTGTACTTCTGGACCAATTCGGTGGCATCTTTCAGCCCAGTGTCCGCCACGAAACTGAGTGTTGGTTGGTACCGCTTTGCGTGACGGAGAATGTCCATGGTCAATCGCACACCGTCGCTTTGCAGCTGAGTATCGATGCCTTCCAAAGCGGTCTCCATTGACAGCCAAAAGTTAACCTCCGGAGATGCCGACTCGCTGTTCGGGTCGCGGGACATCTTCGTGATAGTCTGGATCGACCGAATCCAGCCATTTACCACATTTTGGATGCTGTTGGTGAAAGCACTGCTCTCCAGCACCGTTGATGGAATCAACTCCACAGATGGCTTGATTCCACGTGTTTCTGCCTCTTTAAGAGCACCCTGTACAACTTCGTGAAGCGGGAGGCTTAAAGCTGGGATCTCCACATTCTGTTGCAAGTGCATCAAACCAAGCTCCAAGTCCGCAAACTTCTTCTTTGTTCCTGGGATTCCGGTTTTCGCCTCGGTGTCCGTCTTAGATTTAGTTCCGGCGGTCATCTCCTGACTGCGGGTGTAGGCTTCAAAGTAGGGACTGAGACCATGGTGTAACAACAGGTGTAGGATTTGGTAGGGCGACATAGAGTTTCCCTGCTGAGTAGGGGAATTGTTCAGCGAGGCGAGACCGGGCAGGTTCATGACCTGGACTTGCGACGCCATCGGAAGAGTCGGGTCGATAGGAGCGGGCCGTTTGATTATAGCCACCGAGGCCACGGTAGTGGAAGCGGATGAGATCTCGGAGGAAAGGCTGTAGAGATATTGCACTGCTGCTGTATCACGGGGATTGTCAGAGCCGTATCAATTCCTGGACGGAGGGCACTTACCCTGGTTCTCCGTCTCGCCATTAGATTCCTCCGCCGCAACAATGTCCTTTTGTACATAGAGCGCGACTTGCGACTCCGAAGCAAATCGCGTGCAGCGTTGTACCGTCTCGTTGTACCTCGATTCCGAGAGCAAGCTCCCAGCGCTTTCCAACTCGGACTTCTGAGCTCCCAGTGTTACCTGGAGCACCTCCGTCAGGTACTGAATGACTGCGCCGGAATCCACCATAGCCGCCGTCTCTGGCGTTGAGACGCCATTTGGCACGCCTGGTGTGGCGACCTCCATATTCTCCAGATTATTATGACAGCGACGTGCTCATCGATGGTCGGGAAGGAAGGGAGTGAGGATTTATTCGGAAATATTGGCGGAGATCGCGTCGGGAATCGGGCCGACAAATGGGTGGATAAACACAGCAAAAGCAGAAAGGAAGAAAGAAATCTAGATTAATAACAAGAACGAAGAAAGCAAAGATCAAATGTCCCCACTGCCGTTGTGTACTGTATGTTGAAATTGGAGATAAAGATACGCGGCGTGTTTGCTCTACTTCAGGGGATGCACACTAGTCCCCATTAGGCTAGGCGTGACACGACCCATTTGACAACTCATCCATGGCTCTGGTCCCTGAACCGTTCCATATGCGAAGTATACGATTGAGCTTCTTTTATATCTTCAATTCGGCTTATTTGGTCTTCTATTTTATGGCTTAAAGTCATGCCTCAAATATACCTGTTAATGGACATGTAGATGAAGTTGAAGGGACGATATGTACATCTCCCAACCATAACGTTAATGCAAAACTTCCAAACCTGTCATACTTTGCTGAATAAAAGCTATTCTCGAACTAAAATAAGATAAAATCCCCTTCCCACCTTCTACTTGCTCCACAATATTTTCATCATACCGCAGTCCCGATATCTGCAGCTTCTGCTATCGCCTCACCACCCTGGCAATCACAATCATACTTCGCCCGGAAATCAGATCGCGTCATGGACTCAAGAGTCTCCAAGGCCCTAGAGCTGGCTTTTATCTTTGCATATCGACTGGATGTTGCAACTGCCTTAGCAATAGCCTCACCGTGCACCATGACTATAGCGAGAATATTAGGAGGTTCTCCATCAACGCCTGGAATCTCTCCAGACTTCAAGCAATAGTCAGTGCATCGGAAGTCCTGGGCGATCCTACTGTGAAGGTAGGTCTAGATGCTTTTGTCAGTGCAAGAAATTTGGTATTGAGGTCAGCAATCTAGGTTCATACCGTCGGATGTCTGTTTGCGAATGTATCATAGATCGACATATCGCCGAAGAAAGGTAGGACGTGCATTTCGAAAAATTTCTCAACCACCGTCAAATCAAATCCGGAATCGACGAAGATGGCCCCGAGATAGGCTTCAAGCATATCAGGGAGAGCCTAGAAAGCAACTTTGTTATCTCTGCATATAATCAATTCTCCGGAAGTGGGATACACTACCTTTGGAGAATCTGGCGCCGAAAGCCAATAGTCCATTTCTCCATTGCTCTCGCTCTCTGCAACCTGAAGTGCCTCTGCATATCTCGTGTTTTGGGAAAGAAGGGGTGCACTGGAGTGTTGAAGGTGCGGATGAAGCATCAGCTTCACAGCCAGTGCTCCGAGGAACTTGTTGGAAACCATTGCCATCTACTAAACATTAGTCACATGTCATAAATGTCAAATGCAACAGACCTTATGCTCAGTCAACCATTGCGGATCACGATGCGGAAAGCGATGGAATAAGTGTTCGACGCACACCAAATCCAGGAGTGCATCACCCAAGAACTCGAGTCGTTGGTAACAAGGCACCCTTGCCCATGCCGACGGAAGAGACGGGTGCGTGAATGCAGACCGCAGAAGACGGGGGTATTTAAACTTGTAACCCAACCTTTCAATCTGCTGGGCAAGGTCAAGATCGACTGCATCTGGCTTGCAGATCTGATATGATGGCAGCTTGTAAGCTTCAATATAGTCCTTCCACACCATTGCCGTGTGGTTAGAGTGATTAGCAAATAATGTGACGGCCTTGATAGACATGTCAAACCGATTCTCGCTGCCTCCTGAAAGCAAAGCGGCACCTATCAATGCCTCGCAGACATCTGCTATGGTCTTCTCAGATAGCGCATGTCTTCCTTCGCTGGCAATGAACTTTGCGTGGTCTCGGCCATATTCAAGAACAAGGCCTGGTGGATACCACATATGTCTATAGTCGAGTGTTAGTTGTATGCGATTTATCTCAAATGAAGACGTAGATAATATACCGAGAGAAACCACGGCTACGTATCCATTCATACAACTTCTTCTGGGTTGCAGTGGCAAACAGGTTCTTGTTGCAAATGAGACACATTCTGTTGACGTGATAGTCGTATTCATTGTCGTCCGGATTTTGAGCGAAAAGCGAGATCGACGTGGCCATCTTGAGAACCGAGTCACCTAGCAATTCGAGACGCTCGTAATTCTTTCCCATTCCTCGCTGGACGTGAATCTGTAGGCCTCGGTGCTCTTCTGTATTGTCAGAGTCCTTGGTGAAAGCTTCCAATGCATACTCAGCCTTGATATCAAGACCTAGCGTCTCGCATCCTTCTCGGACAATCAAGCAGGACTCGATTCGGCTAATGATTGCGGGGAATACAAGGCAAGTCGTGGCCACAGACAATGGAATCTGTTACATGTCGTTAGCGTCAGTAGCACGAAGAATGTATCTTTGTAATGAAGATGACTTACCGCAGAAATGCACAATGCCTGAGGACAAATGACCGCTTTTGTGTTGACGGCTCTCTCATCCTCGCTTGCCTTATCAAGGAAGTTTCTTCGGAGACAAACCATCTCTGCCTGTAAGACGGGCTGATCCCAGATGCAGCGGTCAAAGAACTTGGGCCGCGAGTTCTTACTCAAACTCAAAGTCCAATTCATGATGTCTTTCGACCACTTTCGAACAGGCACATAGGAGGGTGGTGGATCTAAAGGGGACAGGGTTTGATCGATGGAAAGTGGAAAGTACCGATACTTTCCATTCCAGTTGTCGTAGATGAGCCGATTTAACAGAGATTCCGGCTTCATGTCCTGGGACCACACGAGATTTTGATTGTCATTGGCAAATTTCAGTGCCTCCCAGTCAATAACCTCAAGGATACTGAGAGAATCTGTTGCTTGGACTTTCTCTCGAGCGGGGGCAAGCCAGTAAGGAAGCCGTTCTGGGTCGCGGGTATAGGTCTTGTGAAACAAATCGTGAAAGACCGAGAGTGTAAACACAGTTAGGAGATCTAATTCCACGGGAGCAACATCGAGGAAACTGTCAGTGCCTGTCAGGCTGACTGCGGTCTCAATATCATGTTCTAAGAAGACTGGAAATGGCGGCATAGATGGAAGTCGCTCCCGTGTCAGCACCACAATACTTCCATGGTCCCGACTGAGTGGCGTAGAAGGAACGAGACTAATCAATGTCGCAAATAGACATGCTGGGATTGTGCCTTGATTCCTGGCCCAGATTGATGGCTTGGTGCGCATGGCATACTGATCAGTCTTTTTAGTTGTGAGGGCCAGTTTTGCATTTCGCATAGCTGGTAGACGCTTGTGGTAGACTGAGTTGAAGTGCTCGTCTAACAAGTGATTCCTTCGAAGCAATAGACATAGGTCAAAAGCAGCCGCCTGTTTTGCAAGTGATTTCTTGCTTTCTGGATTTCCCAACACTCCTCGAATGGGGGATGTCTCTGGAAGAATCACCTCGCAGCTGAACTTTTCATTCTGCGCTGCGATGATATAGGTGGCCTGGGCTGATCGCTCTTTCTCATATTGCTGTAAGTGTGTAGCTGTTAGTTTGAGGCCATATAGTCAATACTGTGATATCATTCTCTGTTCCCTTACCAATGAGCTGGCAAACCGACCCAGAACATCGATTGCATGGCGATATGTCAATTTAGCTCCCGTGTCATCAATGGTGTAAGTTCTGTTTAGGTTCGCTTCTCGGATGACCTCTTCCAGATCATGCGCGGCTCCCTTCAATAATCGATCTTTCGGAAGTAGATTGCAAAAACTTTTCATGGAAACCTCGTGCTTTGATGTCAGCCAAGCCCGATTTTATGAAATTTTGTACATACCTCCGCCTTTCGAACTTCTTGGAGTCTCCGCTCATGACTCTCATTCCCAGCTTCTATCATGGTTGCGTACTGTATATCAAGTTAGCCGATGGCAAAATCAGGCACGGAAGTACCAAAAACTAACGATTGAGTCACTGTGTCTTGCCCGCCCTCGGCTTTGGACATATTGGATGACTGTGTTGTAGAGGTCGAACCTGCTATATATCAGCTCAAGTTTCCCATTTGAGATAAGTTAATGCAACAGCGAACCTCACGACCAGATTGCAATCCGGAATATCAAGGCCTTCCTCGGCGACTGATGTTGCAAACTAGAAGAATTAGCTACTGTCCCAATTTCCTGTCTGAATAGTAACTCACCAAGCAATTGAATTCTCCCTGTCGGAATTTGATCAAGGTAAGGAACTGCAGACGGAAAGTAGAGTTCATCCCCACAGGATCCCCCTTTCGAACGCCGACCAGGACATCAGGACGAAGGTTTGGAATTCGCAATCGTTTGCACAGCTGTAACAAGACCTTGGCCGTGTTGCGCCGCTGCACAAACACAATGCACTTTGTCTGGGGCGCCCGTTGGAATTTTTCTTCTAATTTCTTCATCAGCAATTGAACTTTCGAGCTGAGGTCTCCCGGTTCACTAGGTTGATTCGTCATGTAGGTTTTGACAAACTCATTGGCCTCTTGAATCTCCTTGATCTCTTTGGAGGCCTTTTCGGATGCTTCAACGCTGACATCTGCGTTCTTTGCGATCTGACCCTCAAGCTTGGGAAGCATTTCGTTTGCCAGCGCCAGTGGCCATACCTGGTCTGCGCACCAACCCCCGAGCTCTGAGCTTGCATGCAACGCAAATTGAAAAGTAGTCTCAAGAACCGAGAGGTGTCCAAACTTCGTCTTCATTGTGCCATACAGTTCCGTTTCAAATGGCGAATGGAGTACTTGGTAAACCCATTCCTCCTCCTTTGGTCGGCTCACGAAGTGTCGTAGAAGGGAAAGATCCGATGTGGTTGCTATTCGGCTGTCTAAAAGCGTCTCAAGTCTCCTAGGAAATGTAAGCTAAAGTGCTCAATCAAACATTGCATTTTTCTTACATCGCCGCTTCTGCTATGTCGCATTTAGTATCCACTGGTGAGGCTGTCATTCCAAGGATTCGGGGACGTTTTCCAACTTCCATGCTCAAGTATGCTTCGCGAATGATCCTAGATAATAGTGAGCAATGCATCTGATGCGATAGCGAAAGGAAGTAGGTACCTTGCATATGGGTGCTCCTTTTTGGCATGATGGGCTTCGTCGAAGATCAAAAGATTGATTTGATCCATCCTGACGTACCCATTTAATAGAGCCTGGTTCAGGATCTCCGCGGTGCATACTATCACCATATATGTCTCAAGATGCTTCTCCCAGGTCGGCTGGTCCCACAAATCGGCACCCAGATCACCAAAGAAGTGAGCAACCTTCTGATCAAGGTTGTTTCGCAGGACTGCCGATTGTTGAAATACGAGAGTGACGCTATCGACCAGAAAGAAGGACACCCTAGGCTGGGTTCCAGTTCCACGGTCGATCAACTCATTATGGATAATGTACTTCAACAAAAGTACCGCAACAAGGGTTTTGCCGGAGCCTGAACAGATTGGTTAGCCAACCACATAATACCAGTGGCAAAAAAGGGTCATACCAGTATCCAGAACTGCGATTGTGTTCTGAGCCTTTGCTCTTTCAAAGAGCTCGATCTGATATTCGCGGGGGTCAAGGGCAACTCCCCCATCTTGTTTTGCGAGCAATCGTGCGGTTGAAAGCTCGGCATCTGGGTTGATGCGAGTTTCTGGGTGGACTAGATCATCCAACGCATGCTGGGCGAGGCTTTCACGAAGTTAGCTGGGAGCCAAGAGTCAATATATACTTCGATAGTGCAACACTAACAGGGTAGAAAACATGGCGTTTTGAGCACGCCGCTGTGCCGTCACGGTGACGCGAGGCACCGCCTCCTCGTCAGAGGAGGCGCTGTCTTCTTGTTCTTCAAGCTTCATTTTCTTGATAGATCGTAGCGTTGAAGAAAGAAGAACGTGTTGGTTGGGAGAATCGTAAAATAAAGCGAGAGAGGGTTTGAGGTGTAGCTTATTTGCGGCGTTTGCTTTTTGATCTCGTGTTACTTGTATAAATGAAGAATAGACTGAAGTTCAATAAGCACGAGGTCAATGTATATTATTTGACAATAAGGGCGTAATCGTGCGAATAATTGTATTGAGATTAACCTGAAGCATCAGGAATATATAGTTCCGACATACGTTGTGAGGCGAAATGTTATATTAGAAGTGACACAAGCAGCCGGCACAACGACAAAGGGCACAACCAAACAAGCATACAATCAAGAAAATTGTTGACATCGTATGAGTCAATCGCAAAACAAAGGACAAGAGAAGACGTCTATACTTCGAGCTGTACCTGCTTATCGATAAGCGTATCTTATCAGGCCCCCCCCCCNCCCAAAACTCAGTTCGCGGGGACATTACCTTGCCAAGTTCCAACTCCTGCATATCCCCAATTTCTAAGATGGAGGAACCACAGAGTCTGCGGTCTCTGTTTGCATCGGCAAAGGAACAAAAGGAAACACTAGGATCGCGGGGCGATACCAACACAGAGGCATATCGCGACGATGTGAACGCGACGATCGCCAAATTCCAAGAATGCCAGCGCCAAATCAGCATCCTGTCCTTGTTCAGCTCTAACGAGTCACTTGAAGATATATCAACCAATGATATTCAGTACGTTACTTTAATTCGGCAGGACTGAGTGATTTAACTGATATTGGTGTTCAGGTACATGTCACTGGAATATTTCCTTGCCGAACTTATGCAGCGAGCTGCCACCACAGACCGTGAATCTGCCCTGAAACGTGCACTGGAACAATATGAGAAATTTCTCGGACGCTTGGATGAGTATGAATTACTTTCCGAGGGAGATAAGAAGCTCTTTGAGCAATACATAGCCAACCCGTCCTCGTGGACGCTGGCCCCAGCCAACGATGCCGCAGCTCGACGGGAGATTAAGGTCACGCGGTTTAGGGAGGAGAAAGAATTGAAGCAGAAATTGGAGGTTTGTTCTCAGTTCTCAACTGGTAACTGTCGGTACGTTGCTTACCTTTGTTAAAAAGTACCTGGCTCGCAACGAAGCGCGACTGCAAAGTGACGATGACGACACCCGATCCCTCTACCTCGCCGAGATCCAACTCTACACACATCAGACCTTCCAAGCTTTAGATTTGCTGATGCAGGAATTGTCGATACTGTCAGCCATGCGCAATGCCCCGCCTGCTCCACCTCAAGCCGACGACCCACGGCAGCGGAGTAATATTGGAGGATTAAATTATTCAGAAAGGTTGGATCCTTCAATGTCTCAATTGTTGAGGGGAGGAAGAGGCGGACCGATTCTGAACAACAAAGGGAAACCCATGCAACCGTTTACGCTGCTGGGCCGGCGTTCGGAAATGCAGCAGGGTGTGTTCCGTTCTGGTCATAACCTTCCTACCATGACTATTGATGAGTATCTTGAGGAGGAACATAGAAGAGGAAATGTTATTGAGGGAGGTGGAGAGGCATCCGGTATTAAGCCGGAAGTTGATGAGGACGATCATGCAATTGCCGACCAGGAGACCATGAAGGCCAGGTATTGGGATGAGTATACTGAAGCTAATCCTAAGGGAGCTGGTAACACATTGAACCGGGGATAAATCTTTTACTATGAAGCAAAATCTACGACAGACGGACTTTTAGCGGATAGCTATGATATTTACCGAATGTAGACCATGGATATCATCACTGAATCCACCATGACAGTCATATATGAGACTAGAACACTCGTTAATTGCTATTTTCGCTTTTAGGGTATCTGCCTAGTCACAGTTAATATCTACCTAAACATTCAAGTCGAAGCCGAGACATTCTGCTTGTTCTTGTTCTCTTGGATAGCCTCAAGGATAGCTCCAGCGCCGTCAGCGACCAAGGCCTTAGCTACAGTAACACCAAAGGCCTCGGCGCTTTCAGCAGAGTCGACATCACCTTCAATCTCCACCTCAGCACACTCCTTACCATCCACACTGACAACAACAGAGCGCATGCGCAGCTTCTTAGACCCGGCACTCTCAACCCATTCAGTCTCAACTCCCAACGGAGCACTGCAACCACCCTCAAGGGTGCGCAAAAGACTCCGCTCAGCCAGAACAGAGTAAGTAGTATCCTGGTGACAGATCTTGTCCAGCATCTCACCGAGAACGGTATCATCCTTGCGGATCTCAATACCCAGGGCACCCTGTCCGACGGCATAGAGCATGCCACTGCTCTTGGAATCAAGGTATTGTGTAATGCGATCCGACAAATCAAGACGCAGTAGACCAGCTGCGGCCAAAATGATACAGGTGTAGGGGCTATCCTCGGCGTCCAGCTTTGACAGTCGGGTACCGATGTTTCCACGGACATCCTGGACCTTGAGGTGGGGGTATTTGCGGGCCAATTGGGCTGTGCGGCGGATGGAGGAGGTCCCAACGACTGAGCCGGCGGGGATCTCGGATAGGTTCTTGTATGGCAGGCCTTGCTTGACGACTAGGACGTCTCTGCTATCTTCGCGGGGCATGGTCGGGCCCAGCTTGCAGGTGGAGGGGAGGAGAGTGGGGACATCTGAGGATTTAAACAGCGTTAGTCTTCATTGAACTAGGCATTGGCTTTCTATGATAAGACTGTCTCACCTTTCAGCGAGTGGACAATCAGATCGACTGTTCCGCCGATCATCAATTCTTCCAATTCTTCTGTCCACAGATTCTTGCTGGTGAAGTCTTTCAGCGCAATGGTAGTGTTCAGATCACCAGCGGTCTCCTTGGAGAGGATCTTATATTCATATTGTGGGAAGGCCTTCTTCAGTGCCTCGAGGACTAGATCTGTCTGGAACAGGGCCAATTTGGATTGACGGGTGCCGATGGTGAAGGTCTTAGGGGCGGCGGCGACCATTATGAGGGGCAATGTCACAGAGATGTTATCAATAATCAAAGTACGAAAGACGTAAGCGATGCAAGACAAATGGACAATATGCGATGTTGCTGGGATCAAACAGCCGAGGAAATGTTGCGGGAGGCAAAAGTGGGCTCCAAGAGGAACTCCGATCACGGGACACGTGAATATCAGGCAATGAGAATGGCAATACAATGCAAGATTAAAAAAGAGTAAAAAAACAGATGGAGATATAGAAATAGGAAGTAGGAATAAAGAACAAGAGTAATATAGTAAATAAGATAAGTTAATTACCATCTCTAATCAGATCTTGATCTGCAGACTGACGTACTACCTCGGCCCCGGGACGTGGAGACTGAGAGACATGCGACTCTCCTCTTATCTGCCCCGGACTTGCCATCCACGCGCTTCTGGAACCTCCTCCTCTTTATAATCCTCTCCCCACATCCCCCCAATTTACCCCATTCTTCCTCCTCTCTCTCTCTCTTCTCACTGATATCTGATACTTCTACTTACTGGATCCGCGTCTTTGCCACCCAATCCATCTCGGTACAAGATGGGATCCGACTCGAGAACCATCAAGATTCCCCTCGTTCCCCTCGCCAAGGGCTCGGTCCTTTTACCCGGAGTGACTCTCCGCATTCCTGTCTCCAATCGCCCCGATCTCGCCAATCTCCTGTCCTCATTGGTGGACAAGCCATCGAAACGAGATGCCAACAGCATCACCTTCGGATGTGTTCCGCTCAGCTCCCCGTTCCTAAGCCGCGATGGACAGCAGCTTCTCGAGGGAGGCGACTCTGATTCAGAGCGGAAGGACGAATACGACTCCATCGATGCGGGCCAGGCGAGAAAGGAGGACCTCTTCCGATACGGTGTGGTTGGCAAGGTCATCGGAGTTCAGCGCCGGGCTTACTCCGAGCCCTTCCTGCTCGTCCAGGGGTCACAACGATTCTCGATCAAGAGAGTGATCCGAGACCGGCCATACTTTGAAGCAGACGTTCTTCTTCATGATGAAAGCAGTAAGTGTGTTATAGACGGCGAAAAGAATACGGCTAACCTCCATATCATTAGACTCGGGCCAAGGCGACGCGGAAGTCGCCGATCTATTCCAACAACTGAGACAACTCTCTAGAGAGCTTCTCACACTCTTGCGTCTTTCATCATTGCTGTCGGCGGCTTCATCTCGCCTCTCACCGCTTGTTGCTCGGAAGTTTGAACTCTATATATCAAAGACGGAATTGACGCAGGCAGGGAAGCTTGCGGATTTCATGGCAGATGTCTCTGATGCAAGCTTCGAGGAGAAGTTGCGCATCCTCTCATCGTTGGATGTGAAAGAACGCCTGGAGAGGGTCGTTGTGATTCTCACCAGGCAGGCCCAGCATATCAAGAGCAGTGTCAGAGTGACCTCGGTTAGCTCGACCTCATTCCCGTCCTCGGGCATGGATATCAGTCAGATTGACCCTCGTGAGCGTGAATTGCTTGCAAAGCGCGCAATGTCGGGTCTCTCCGGTCTCACACCTCCTGGGCCAGCCAGTGCCCGCGGCAACGACGAAGACAAGGAACCCAATGAGGTTGACGAATTGCAGCAGAAATTGAATGATGCAGAGCTTAGCCCCGAAGCCCGAAAGGTAGCAGACAAGGAATTGAAGCGTCTGCGTAAGATGAACCCTGCCAACGCCGAGTACGGTGTATGCCGGACCTACCTGGAGAACCTGTCTGAGATTCCATGGACTAAGGTCACAGAGGATCAGCTTGGACCCGACACATTGAAGCGAGCCAGGAAACAGCTCGACGAAGACCACTACGGCCTGGAGCGTATCAAGAAGAGGCTGCTTGAATACCTGGCTGTGTTGCGGCTCAAGCAGTCCACCAACCAGGATGTTGAACGCCAGATCTCAGGACTCTCTCGGGATCTGGATGTCTCAGCGGTTGGTGATGTTGAGAAGGATATTCCTCTCCTATCAGAGTCTGATCGGGTTGCGCTCGAAACCCGACTTCAGATTCTCAAGTCCAAGCGTATGACTGACAAATCTCCCATCCTGCTTCTGGTTGGCCCCCCTGGAACTGGTAAGACTAGTCTTGCACGGTCCGTTGCTGCCTCTCTTGGTCGCAAGTTCCACCGTATCTCCCTCGGTGGTGTCCGAGACGAGGCGGAAATCCGTGGCCACCGGCGCACGTACGTTGCAGCCATGCCTGGCTTGATTGTGAACGGTCTGAAGAAGGTTGGTGTTGCCAACCCTGTCATCCTCCTTGATGAAATCGACAAGGTTGGCGGCGCCAACTTCCAAGGTGACCCGTCCGCTGCCATGCTAGAGGTCTTGGATCCCGAGCAGAACCACACTTTCACCGATCACTATATCAACATCCCCATTGATCTGAGCAAGGTTCTCTTCCTTGCCACGGCAAACTCCTTGGATACCATCCCTGCACCTCTACTGGATCGTATGGAGACAATTTCCCTGTCTGGTTACACTACAGTCGAAAAGAGACACATCGCCAAGCAGCACCTGATCCCCAAGCAGATTCGTACGAACGGTCTCACCGAGGGCCAGGTCAATATGTCTGACGAGGTAATTGACAAGACTATCATGGCGTACACTCGTGAATCGGGAGTCCGCAACTTGGAGCGGGAACTTGGCTCCATCTGCCGTCACAAGGCGGTTCAGTATGCCGATGCCAATGATTCTGACCGTGTGGACGATTACAACCCTGTCGTATCAGTTGAAGACCTGGAGGACATCCTGGGAATTGAGCGCTTCGAGGAAGAGATTGCCGAGAAGCACGGCCGTCCCGGTGTTGTCACAGGACTCGTCGCATACTCCACTGGCGGCCAGGGCAGTATCCTCTTCATCGAGGTGGCTGACATGCCCGGCAACGGACGCGTTCAGCTGACCGGCAAGCTGGGTGACGTGCTCAAGGAGTCTGTCGAGGTAGCCTTGACGTGGGTCAAGGCACACTCTTTCGAGCTGGGTCTCACCCACGACCCCAATGAGGATATTATGAAGAGCCGCAGCCTGCACGTTCACTGCCCTTCAGGTGCCATTCCCAAGGACGGGCCTTCCGCTGGTCTGGCCCACACTGTTGCATTGATCTCCTTGTTCACCAACAAGCCAGTCCCGCCGCAGATCGCTATGACCGGCGAGGTCTCTCTGCGTGGTCGGGTCATGCCCGTTGGCGGCATCAAGGAGAAGCTGATTGGTGCTCACCGCGCCGGCGTCAAGACCGTGTTGCTGCCGGATCACAACCGCAAGGACGTCAAGGATGTTCCACAAGAAGTAACCAAAGGGCTGGAAATCATCTATGTTCGGTAAGTCATTATATCCTCTTATCCAACTCATATTAACAATTGGTTACAGACATATTTGGGAGGGACTGCGCACCATCTGGCCCGATGCCCAATGGCCCGGCCAGCACCACATGAACTTGCTCGAGAGCCGACTCTAGACCGTTCTCTCTATCAGTTCAGCGCGTGTCTGTTTCCTTTTGTCTAGCATATTTGATCTTCTATACCTTCGTTTTGCATAGCGTGATAGTGGCCCTCACGGCCACAGCGATTTGTACCTAATCGGCTTCTCCTTCCTGATGCGTTAATGCCTGTCAAGGATTCTTTCTGTCCATATCTCACTCAATATATCGCATCTTCACTATACTCCAGACCCAACAAACACCCTCTCCACACCACTTACAGTATAAAGGAGAACACAAGACACGACAAATAAGACGCCACAGTCAAATGTATACAGTCTACCTGAGTATAATACAAAGACCCAGCCAAAACAACAAAGGCCAGACCACAAGAAAAACACCAATGTCCCCACAAGACGGATGGAGAATAATGCAGAGAAAACAATCAAATACAACCCATTTACCGCCTACCGCGGCTCTTCCGGTGCGTAGTATACCACTCAGGCAACGAATTCTTCAAAATGAAATCGCCAGTCTTCTCAACCTTGTCCAAGCCAAGACCCTTCCAAGTCGGCCGCCACTTCTCCTTGTTCTCAAGGAGATCCTTAGCCTGCTTGGCGTAGGCATCGCGCAGTTCCTGGTCGGGCTCCTGGCCCTTGTTCGGCTTGGGTTGGTCCTTTTCTTGTTGGTCGATTTGCCATTTCTCGGCGGTTTCCCAGCCTTCCTTTTCCCATCTATTGGCGAATTGGTGTTAGTGGATAGTTCTCGATTTGTTTGCGTCAGGTTTCAAAGAAAGACATTGGTTGCATAGAGTCTCTCTCGAGACAGAGGCTACAATAAAACGCAAGAGACAGAAAAGGAGAAAAAGTAACAGTGACAGGGGTGGCTGCAACGTACGGGGTGAAATCCTTCGGCGCCTCGGGCCACACGAAAGGCTCACGCAGCTCGACGGTCATGCGCTTCTGCGATTTAGGCCGGCGCCATGGGCCGTAACCCTTTCCATCGCGGGTGATACGTGTGATGGGTTGTTGCTGCACGTAACTGCGGATACCGTGGACGCCGACGCCGTAGAGGTTCTGGAGGTAATCGCGGAGATCAAACTTATTGAAGGCGAGGGGGACGCGGAATTGAGCGTAGTAAGGGGAGAGTTTGGGGGTGCGGATGAGAGCGATGCGGAATTGGGGACTATTTGGAAGGAGTTATTAGCCCGATGTTTTTTGGTCGGTTGAGGGTAGCCGTGTTCAATTGACACTTCTGGGGATTCTGGGTGTGTTTGGGGCATTCCGGTGTCGATATGGGGACTTTTGGAGATTTTGGATGGACGTACAGGTAGACCGGCTTGCCCTTGGCGGGATGGTCGATTCTCGGGGGGCTGGCCTGCTCCTGGAGAAGTTTTGGGACGACCTTGCTCTTCAGCTTTTGTTTGAGACTGCTTAGGCGCACCATTGTGTTGGGGTTGAGCGATTGTCGTTGGAGGCGTCTCCGGACTGCGCATCAAAACTGAGCAGGTCCGAGCTGATCACGTGAGCATCGAGTATATATGGGTACCCACCTTCCTAACCGGGGAGGAAATCACCCCTACAATCATGTTATGCAAAGAACCCATCAATTCTCGGGCGAAGCCCTGCGCCTGTCCTGTCCAAGACCATGTTGGTTATTGGCGGCGTGGTTGCCTCAGGAGAGGAGAATTTTCCTGACGTCCTTATGTATACCCCAGTCCAAATGGCTCATTTGGTCCTTCTGCTTTTATGTTACGAGGCTATCGAGAATAAAGCGGTTGCTCAGAGATGCCAGTTATGCATTCAATGTTAATAGGAAAGCTCAAAACCTATATTACATGCTTGATTCATCGTAAATGGTCATTAAAAAGCCCGGTCATTTTCCCTTTACTGCGCTGATGACTCCGAGACTCGAAGTTCTTCTAACCGCTTGGTGCTGTCGTCGATATCCCCCGAATCCTTGTTCTCGGGAGTGTCATCTGCTTCCTCTTCCTCAGACCCTGACTCCTCTTCTTCCTCATCATCCTCATCTTCATCATCCCGACCTTCTCCATCACCGGTGGCTCCCACGTCTTTCATGTACGCTTCGAGCTCACGAGCCATCTTCCGCGAGAAGCCTGAGGCTTCAACTTCGACATCCAGACGCTTACCAGGGTTCTTGAGGAGCTTCTTTCTAGCATCGGCAAAAGAAGGACCTGGGATATCACTGACGAAGTGGAACTTGCGCTTGAAGTACCGCTTGATACACTCAACATCACGGTCAAAGTACATCTCAGCGTTGGCATGGTCAACGGAAACCATCTGCGGGAAATCAATAAGAACCGGGACCAGCCGGAGATTCTCATCTTCCTCCTCCTCAGTAGCAGGAGCCTTGCCCTTCGCACTAGGGTCTTGTTCTTCCTTGATAAGAATGTTGAACTCGTTGAAATCACCGTGAATCAAACCGAATCGGGCAAGCTCCAAGATCATATCCATAAGCTCAGAGTATAGCGCAGCCGGTTCAGGCACTCTGGAAATCTGACGCAGCGGGAAAGCATCAATCAAACTCATAACGATGGTGTGTCGGTTCTGGGCGATGGGCTCGGGGACCGAGAATCCGTTCTCGCGTAGGGCCTTCATGAATGCAAATTCCTTCATCGCTGCCAATCTCGACATGTACATCCATGAGCCTGTGTGTCGGTGTCGTAGGTAGTCGCGGTTCGTCTTGACGGTTCGGAAAGAGATACGGCCGAGACGGTGGATTTTGAGAATGCGTTGCGCTCCGCTGCTGTGTGCCACCACGATAATGTCTGATTCCTTTCCAACACCAACTTGGTTGCCGACTGAGTAGACGACCTTTTGCTTCTGGTGCGCGTTCAGCGCGAGATAGTCCAATCCTCCGTATGCGAGTCGGTATCCGTCATCTGCATTGTGACAGCCGGGTTAGCGCTGCAAAGATACGAATATATGGTAGTGTATCGTACATTTGGCATTCTTCACTTTGGCGATTAAGTTCGTCTTTGCGAGGTTCGAGATTGCGCGGTTGACACCGCTGCCACCTCGGAGGCCCGAAAGCTGCGAGATCAACGGCGTAGGAACGACCTCATGGTTACGACTTCCGGCTTCAACCTAATATTATCTCTGCAGTTAGCATAGAACATATGCGCGTCGTCTATAAAGATAGACATCGCGGGGTGGAGGGGCCGATAAGTACCGCCGCAAGAACTTTGAAATCCTCAGAGGTGAGGTAGCGGATGGCCTTGGCGTCGAGCTTCATAGTTGCGAGGAAGTAAAGAGGCTTTTTCTTCCCTTCCGATTTCCAGAAACTGGTTCGTTGACTTGAACTTTGGGGCTGGTCAAACAGCTGCGATGCGGCGGAGGAAAAAAGTTGATAAGAGCCAAGCCCTAAGCCCTATTTCCTATCCGGGATGAGAACCTTGATAGCTCTGCATGCTGCTTGGGTTTATGCGATGGTTTATACGATGATGAGTGTGCTAATTGTAATTTCGTTTGAATAGACTTGACTGGGATGTAGCTGTATCAAGCATCATGTCTCTAGGTACTCGTACATAGCCCATGAAGGCCCTGAGATATGCCTGTCTAACATAGTCCGAACATTTATAGCGGTCCAAGCCGCGAAACCAATACAATTGTAAAACAAATCCATGCTATTCTTCATTGTTCTGAATACATTAGGTCCAACGATAACCCGATCACTATACGAGCCTCGCTTGTTGCAGGCAATTGATGTAAATCGGGGAATATCTAGTTTAGTTTACTCAGGGCTTTCCCAGTCCGGGTTCTAGAAGGGTAAGTTAGTATTGTCGGATATAAATGGCGCGATGAAACTAGGATCAAAACGTACCTTGCGCAGAATAACCAAGCCTTCAAGAGTGCTGCTGAGAGGAATGTATTGCTCATCCTCCAGCTCGGCTCTCTCACCGTGAGACAGGAGCACAGGCGTGCTCTGGGTCTGCCATCCGGTGATAGTCTTTGGGCGACCTGCCTGGCCGACCACATCCACAGCCTGACCAACGCGGACGTTGACGGTGAGGGGCTGAAGGTCCTCGTCGAGGGTAATAAGGAATCGGGGGAACATGGCGGTAATGAGGAAGTAGAGCAGGTAGTGGTGGTCACCGAGGATGAATTGCTTCGCGTCAATGAGCGACACGAGCACGGTGAGCAAACCGGCTGCCGAAACACGAGAGAGGACCTGGCGGTCGGTGTGGAAGGGGTTGAGAGTCATTGTTCCCTTACCCATGTGGAGGAGACCCTGGGCGATCCGAACCATGAATAGTGAGTTCTGGTCGCGGTGGTAGTAGCTGGCCAATTGCCGGAGGAGCTGTGCAAGACGGGCGTTGTTGGTACCAGCACCACAGAGACCCATGGCAAAGATGGCATTGATGGCAACGTCGTTGTCGTTATCGTGACTGTACCGGGACAGTGTGTCGTACACCTTCATCTGTGGGTTGCTAGGGCTGATCAAACCCATGGCGAGAGGAACCGCCCGACGGATGTTGCTGGAGCCATAGTGCATTAGGTGACCGAACTGGCGGAGAATCATGTCCTGTCCGACGTCCTCGCCCATGGCAATGAGCGATAGACCGAGGACAGCGTACGACTGGACAAGTTCATCACCCTTGTTCTCCTCCTTCTCTTCGATGATATCATTACAGATGTGGAGAAGCTCTTGCAGCTTCAGCACTGTGCCGGTACCCGCCCAAGCGCACACCGAGGCAAGAACTGAAGTGGGCTTGGCCATGGGGTGGTCAACCGCCTTGAGGATGTCAAGGATAACATCAACTTCCTCCTGGCGACCGAAGTACAGAAGTGCCAGACCAAGAGCCATGAACCTCGTCCACTTGTCCTTGAGCTGCTTCTGGCGCTCCTCATCCATTAGGGTGGTGGCGATCGCCTCACTGACCTGGTGGTTCGAGGAGCCAACAAAGATCAAGCCAAGCGAGACTGCTGCCATGGCGGACAGCTGCATGTCTAGTGAGGCATCCTCCACGATGGGAAGAAGAACCTCGAGGAGCTCCTCCTTGTTAGAGCCAGCATAAGCCAGGCCAAGTCCCATAATAGAGGCAACCTTCATTGGGGTGCTCTTTGACTCAAGGTTGTCAGGGTCACTCAAGAGAGCAAGAGCAGGGTCAGAGTCAAGTCGGACACCAGAGTTCAAGATACCAATAGCGAGCAGAGCACCAGCCTTGACCTCGTCTTCCGTTGCGTAGGTGAACTTGTCGATCTTGTCCAAGCCGTCCTCAACATCACGGTGCAGCAGCATACCCAGCGAAGCCGTTGTGGAAAGCATACCATCGTCCTTGGTCTTCCACACCCACGGGCCCTTGTCCCCTTCCACGAGCATCATCTTATCATTACCAAAGCCCGCATTGGCAAACGAGTTTACGAATGCGCTGGCGAGATTGTGTCGTGCGGAATCGAGGTTGGTGAGTCCTGCCCCGCGGCTGCTCTCCAGATGTGTCTTGTAGATATCCTCAGGCATCTTGGGTTCCAGGATGTTAAGTTCCTTGCCCAGGGACTTGAAGTGTCTGGGGATGGAGGTGTTGTTGAGACAGTCGGCAAGAGCCTCTCCCTCTTCATCCTCAGCCGGGAGGTCAAGCCAAATCTGCTGGCGGGCGACAAGGAAAGCCATTTGCTTCTTCAGAGCCTTGTCGGAGGTAGCGTTGATATCACTCTTGATGAGGTCGGTGTCGTTCAACCGAATAGCGAGCACGATTGCTTGAGAGAGCTTGTTGTAGCGGACGTAGATTTCGTGGGCGGTTCGGAGGAACTGCTGGTCTTCAGGGTAAGTGAGCAGGTTGACCATGCTGACCATATACAGGCAGACACGAGCATATGTGTTCTCGTCAACGAATTGGGGAATGTCTTCGATGATTTCCAACTCGCTCATGAGATCGACCGCATCGGCTTCAGCATTGTGACTCAAGAAATATGGCACCAGTGACAATGCAAGGTCCACTAGATCCTGGGTATCGTTCTCTGAGTTCAAGCGGTTCTGGTATTCTTGTCCGATTTCAAGTGCGAGGTGACGGACATATTCGTGACCCCAGGAGCCAAGATCCTCCGACTTGGCCAAGAGACGGTATTTGATGGTCTCCAGCTTCTCCTCGTCTCCGTACGTCATTCCGAGGACCGATAGCATATCGGCCAACGAGTTCTAGAAATGAGATGATTAGATCTTGAATCCAAACGAGGATACAACAGAACCAACCTTGACGGGGCCCGCGACCCATTTCTCATATAGCCCGGCCAGGTCATCGTAGTGCGGTCGGAGGAATTTGAGAGGCTTGGGGACAGCTGTCATGGATGATGTGGAGGTCTTGATAAAGTTCTTAATGGCGTCCAGTGCAGGTCCGTAAAGCGAGGTATCTGTCTCCTATTGCATGCGGAAAAAGATGTTTAACGTCATTGCCATGCGGATGAAGAGGAGAGTAGCCTTACCTTTAACCGCTCAACAAGCATCTCAAGTTCACTCTTCAATTGCTGATCCTCTTCGCTGAGCTCCTCTGTAAGATGCAAGAGTCAGCATATGTGTCCAGTGCTGGCACGGATCTTTCACAGAATCCGGGACTTTCATCATTGGGACTGTTATCGCAACGTACCATCTGGAGATTCTTCGTCCTTCTTCTTTCCGTCTACTGGCGCTTTCTCGCCATTTTCGGTATTCTTGCCGTTGAGTTCGCGAACATCATCAACCTTGCCCTTGCCCTTGTCGGCGGAGGTTGGCCGTTCGCCCTCGTTCGCCATTCTTCAAGGTAGCTGGCGACCAGGTCGGGGAAAATTGAAAGGGTAGGACGGGAGGAGGAACCAAACGAGAGATCGCAGAAAACGTTACGAAGCAGAAGTAGATGGAATTCTGCGAGTAACAAGTAACACAAGTGGATTGTAAGCTGGTGATGGATGGAGAGCACAGAGCTGCACCAGACCGAGCTCCGGATTATATAAGCGCCAAGCCCTCGTCATTGCTTTGCGGCAATTCCACAGCTTTCTTTCTGCTAAGATGTTGGAATATTTCTTATTTATGAGGAAAGGATGGCAGAATAGCTTTTTTACATATACCCTGGTTTTGCTAAATATGATAGAAATTTGCACCAAATGGCTACGCAGGTCCTGCTCAGATTGCACCCAGAGACTCTCCAACACAAAACAACTCCTGCGAAGGATCAGTATTCTCGGTACAACCTCCGTAGTGAATACGAAACTGCTTGGCATATTCTTCCGTCTGTTCATTATATGCAGCGTTTGTCATCTCTTCGCCATCGTATGCAAGCAGAGGCAGAACATCAAGATCTGGAAGACCGGCTGAGAAAAGGTCAAGGAGAGGCATGATGGTTGATGCGCGGTTCAAGGGTTTCTCAACAGACCGCAGTCCAGCGGTAAAGTCGCCCGAAAGCGGTTTTGTAGGATCATCAATATCTTGAATGTCCTTATTATCGGAGCTAGAAAGGCTCGCACTATGAGCAAATTCTTCTGGTGGTTGGTATAGCTCATTGTGTACCGTCGCAATGGGAGCTGTTTTGGTACCTGGGAATGAGGGATAAAGGAGATAATACCCCTTGGCACGAATCATCTCAAGCAAATGCTCCATGAAGGCGGGATACTTTTCCGATATCAACTTTTCATGAGAGGCCTTGGCGGATTCTGGCGTCGACAGACGATTAAACAAGAAAGTATGGAACTCGGCCCATGCGTTTCCAAAGTACAAAGCCGCGTTACTATTTGGGGCCTGCCAGAGGAACGAGGAGAGGAACTGATCTCGGTTTGTACCGCTCATGACCGGTGGAGTGAATGACTCGCTGCCAGTAGTGGGTTTGGAAGAGGGCAACTCCAGTGCAACTCCGATCATTTTGGAAAACACGCGCTTGGCATGGGCAGACTGTTTGTAGTTCAACGCAGCGTACTTTAGGTAATGATAGAACGACGGCGCTAGCTCTGTCTGCGGTGATAGCAGAAGCAAATGGGTGACGTTTGGATCTCGCGGGTAGAATGATTCCACTGTGCGGAGCGAAGACTCCACGGGATCCATGAAATGCGGCTGAATGCGTCGCCGAAGAGTGATACGATCTGCAAGCTGGGTCAGCCCATCCAAATGTTGGAGGAACTGGAGCAACTGCGGATCCACCAGCGAAGGAAGCTCAATTGTCAGTCTGGGGACAGATCCCAGATAATCGGCTGCATTCAATGACTCCACAAGTCGAATCACAGAACCAGATGACTGAGACGGTGCATGGACAACCATTTCAATCTGTAGCTCATTCCATGCTATAGCACATATTGTTAGCCTTCCAAGTTCGGTGCCAGACACTGGCAGATAAATGCGGAGAAGTTTTCCTACATTGAAGAGCTGTGGAATCCAGGAATGCTATCCACAGAAGATCCTTTGCTGCAGAGGTAAGACTAATGTGAGGAGTGCCATTCTCACGAGAATGAGTCTGCACGCCTTTCAAAAAGAAGTCGTCTTCCAAACTCCTGCCTTGTGTGATTATAACCTCTGGTCGAATATATGCCTGGAGGAGTCGTAAGCCTCCCACGACGGATCGTTCCATCCGGAAATCGCTGGACTGAGGCGCGTGGTCTGGCCGACCATCTGTTCAGTTATAGGCTATTAGCAAGTTGTTCTTAAATATGAGATATCAAATATCATACCATGCCATACCAGTGGGCATTCATTATCTCTGATGCCATTAACCTGTTTAATTCCTTGTATCGAGATTTCCTCTTTGCCCATTAGAACGAAATGGACGTAGTTCAGGCGCTGACCTGCCATCCGACACGCAAGAGGCAACATATCTGACACGCTGCGTAGACTCGATGCGGCAAACACAACTACCCGGCTGGCTGTGTCTTTCGAGTACTTCTTGCGAGGGAGGGACTGCGCTAACTCGTAGAACTTGACCTCGCCATCGTAAAATACACCCTTGCCCTCTGGCTCCAATACCTTGGGCTTGGGCTCAGTCTCTGTCTTAGGAGCTGGGCGCGGTTGCTCTGAACCAACCAATTGCGCAAGTGTCTCCTGTCGTAACTTTGCAGCCGAAGGGTTGTATCGATCAGCAGCGGGTGCTAAGTCTGTTGGCATGTGCTTGAAGAACTCATACAGAAGGAATAATCCAAGCAAGGCGAAGAGAACACGACGAGGCCTAGTAATATTTCGATGTCGCAGAGGTAGAAAGCGCGCTTCGCCCGGGGGACGGTGATCGTCATCCTTCTTTCCCATCTCTTCGTCCGCTCGAAGGGGCATCTTTGCGGGGGCCATAATGTGCGTCAAAAGACAAGCCCCGTTGGAGCTGAAATAAGGCGTTTAGGACATAAGAGCAACAAGAGACAGTGTTAAGACGAGTGTTGGTCACGAAGGCGCGGTCCAACACGATGATATCAGCGACTTATCGCCTTATCGCCTTATCGGATCTTGATCAGTCCAACGCGCCTCAACCATCACTCTTCATTCCCTTCTGGAGATCTCAGAGTTCACGATGGAAGACCAGATGGATACAGAAAACATTGAACAGCGCGGCACCAAACGCGCGGCCGAAGAGACCGGGACTCAAGAGGCCCCCAAACCGAAGAAGATCAAGGTAAGGCAACGCGTGTCAATCCCGTCTATAGAGCAGATATTGACTTTACCTGCAGGCTCTGGACCCTGATGTCGTGAATAAGATCGCGGCTGGAGAGATTATTGTCGCACCAATGCATGCGCTGAAGGAGTTGATTGAAAATGCAGTCGACGCTGGCTCCACCTCCATTGAAGTCCTAGTCAAGGACGGAGGCCTGAAACTACTTCAAATTACTGATAATGGCCATGGCATTGATGTAAGTTGGAAGAGCCCAGGCACAATTTTAGCAAGTCTGACAACATGCAGCGAGATGATCTCCCCATTCTTTGCGAAAGATTTACCACATCCAAGCTGAAGGAGTTTGAGGATCTCTCCTCTATCGGAACATATGGATTCCGCGGTGAAGCATTGGCCAGTATCAGTCACATCGCACATCTAACTGTCACGACAAAGACAGCTGGTTCTAGCTGTGCGTGGCGAGCGCATTACGGAGATGGGAAGCTGATTCCTGCGAAGCCGGGACAGAATGCGGCACCCAAGGCAACGGCTGGACGGGGAGGAACTCAGATCACAGTAAGTCAATAGAGTGCCATTTGGGATCTCAAACTTACGTTCTTCCAAGGTTGAGGATCTATTTTATAATGTTCCTACTCGACGCAGAGCCTTCCGCTCAGCAAGTGAAGAGTATGCCAAAATCCTTGATGTCGTTGGCCGATATGCCGTCCATTGCTCTGGGGTTGCATTCTCATGCCGCAAACACGGTGATTCTGGCGTGAGTATTTCCACGCCAGCTAGCGCCAATACTGTCGACCGGATCCGCCAGATCCACGGCAGTGCTGTCGCGAACGAAGTTGTTGAATTCAATTCCGAAGATAAGAAGTTTGGCTTTCGATCATCTGGCTTTGCCACCAATGCCAACTATCATGTCAAGAAGACAGTAATCCTGCTCTTCATCAACCACCGTGCAGTCGAGTCAACAGCCTTCAAGCGCGCAGTCGAACAGACATATTCGGCATTTTTACCCAAGGGTGGTCACCCTTTCGTCTACCTTGATCTCGAGATTGAACCCAACCGTGTCGATGTCAATGTACATCCAACAAAGCGCGAGGTCAACTTCTTGAACGAAGACGAAATCATCGACCTTGTCTGCACCGAAATTCGATCCAAGCTCGCGGAGGTGGACTCAAGTCGGACATTCCTAACACAAAGCCTTCTGCCTACCGTGCCAACCATCCAGTCCCTACAGGATGACAGAAATGAGCCCAAGGATGGAACAGATTTAACAAGAGGAGCAATACCCAAGACACCAGCAACAACCAAAAAGCCCTACGAAAACAACCTCATCCGAACAGACTCCAAAGTCCGCAAAATCACAGCAATGCTAGCACCCTCGTCGCGAGATCCATCCAATCCCAGCGCCCCAGAAACCGACAACCAAACCTCCTCCCTCCTCGAAGAAGGCCTCCAATACACAACAACAGACCGCCAACCCCTCCGCATAGCCCTATCCTCAATAAAAGCCCTCCGAGCAAACGTCCGCGCCGAAATGCACAACACCCTAACAGAAATGTTCGCAACACACACCTACGTCGGCCTAGTCGACGAACAGCGCCGCCTAGCAGCAATCCAATCCGGCGTAAAACTCTACCTAATAGACTACGGCCTAACAAGCAACGAACTCTTCTACCAAATCGGCCTAACAGACTTCGGCAACTTCGGCACAATAAAACTAACCCCAGCACCAAAGTTGACAGACCTCCTCAAAATCGCCGCAGATGAAGAAAGACAAGAACACTCAACCCAAGACTCAACTCAGAAAGAAGCAGATATCATCTTCGCAAATGCACCGGACATGATCGCCCGCACTCTCGTCGAACGCCGCGAAATGCTAAATGAGTATTTCTCTATGCAGATCAGTTCGGAAGGCCACCTTCTCTCGATACCCCTGCTGTTGAAGGGGTATGTGCCCGCCCTGTCGAAACTACCTCGCTTCCTACTCCGCCTTGGACCGTACGTCGACTGGACTAGTGAGGAGGGGTGTTTCCGGTCGTTTTTGCGTGAGCTTGCGGCTTTCTATACGCCTGAGCAACTTCCCGTTCTTGCGGGGGATGCAGATGCATCAGGGTCTGCGTCTGGGCCTGCACCCGCACCTGCACCTGCATCTGCAGACCCCACGACTGAGCCGGTTGTAACCGATGACTCGTCCTCGTCCTCGTCCGAGCTGGATACAAATGCATTTATTCGGGCGCGCCGGGCGCAGATCATTCGCATGTTGGAGTACGTTCTTTTCCCGGCTGTGCGAGCTCGACTGGTTGCCACGTCACGGTTGTTGCGTGGTGTTGTTGAGGTTGCTGATTTGAAGGGTTTGTATCGGGTGTTTGAGCGGTGTTGAGTGTTGGTGCTTGTGGGTGCTTGAGTGTTTTGAGTTGAGGGGAAGGGGGTGGTGTCAGGTCATGCTGTTACATTGCATTGTATCTATTTTTTTAAGATGATTTACGAGTACAGAGTGCACGTACCTGGCCCAGATGTCTGCATTTCTATGACTAAAACTAAGAGTGTCCGAGGGTCGACAGGTCTGGGCTTCTTAAGCTATGCTATGTCTTTGTATCGGTATTATTGTTTTCATAACATATCCCATTTCTTTTGCTGGCCTTAAACAAGAACTTAAATCTTGAATAAAGATAATAAGAAGACTTAAGAAATCTTTTCGGTAATCGTTGCAAGGAAAGACACACAGAGTGTATGCCCGAACAGATGGATAGAATTAGGATAACTAGCAGAGACGCCTGCGATCGCCGAGCTTTTGACGACGGTATATCCGTGTCAGATCCTAGATAACACATATACCAAGAGCATTGGAGAATAGGACAGAGATGGAATAAGGAAAAGAATAATGGACAAAGGAATACAGACAGAGTACAGCGGTGCAGAGACATATCAAATCAGATGAATATGCTAATCTTGGGAGTAAACTGGACAACTATCTTATGAGCCGCATTTCAGACTTGGCATGACAATATCAGAATGATACTCTTTCAAGGGCAAATCATGGGCGAAAACGCTTGGGAAAATGATATGGGAAGAAAGAAAAGACGACAAGGTGCAAGCTCCGGTTGAAGCCGGCAAGTAAGAACACAAATGAATAGCAGAGTGTGGGGAAATAGGGATAAACAAACAGAAATGAATAGTAAATAAACAAATTCAAGGTTGCTGAAGAAAACAGAAAAAGAAAAAGATCGTTGCGAACAGAGACAAGGTTAAAACATTGCAATATTCAAACATGGTCATTGCAATTCATTCCCATTTCAATCAGATCTTCAAAACGCCTTGCGCCAAGATCCAATTTGAAACATCCCTAGTTCGTGCAGTCGTTAAAATTCATTGTATCATGTTGCCTCTCACAGCGAGAGGCAAGCAAAAAAAAATTAGAGTAGAACCAGGTCCGGGTCTGGCGTTGAACCTGAGGTAAGTGAAGCCGAGAACCAGCTTCGAACTTCGAGATTCGAGGTTATTCTTAGCTCCTCGAATAGGGCTTGTTGAGAAGAGCGATCTCGCGCGTGACGGTTTGCCATTCGAGTTCTCGTTTCAAGGGCTCGTTTCGCTTTCTCAATTGGTGTTCTTCCCATTGAAGAAGCTCGTAACTGTAGCTCGTCAGATATGGCGATCGGAACGATCGAAGGAGTTTCTTACACAAAGCGTAGGTGGGGTTGGATGATGACGTTGAGTCTTCTTGCTCGAACGTAGCAGCTTGGGGAGTATTAGCATGGTCAATCAATGCTAACAACTTTGTTGGAAACTTACTATGCCCTTGGGAAAGAAAGCTTTTTGCAGGCCATGACTTCGGCAATGCAGATACTGGCAGATCTTGAAACGCCAACTCGACAGTGGACCAATGTAGCTGTACCCTCACGCTTGCCTTTTTCTGTAAACAGGTCAGTAAACTGAAAGCCGGGTGCTAAGGGATTCCCAAACATACCGATGAAATCTAAGCAACGATCATACTCCTGACACAAAGGATCAATGCCATTATCCTGGACATTGTCAATGTACATCAAATTATCAGGACCCCAGGTGGCACGGTCCTCATCCGACCAATTAACAGCCTCGCCAATGCTGAGCACACGTCTGATACCAAGCTCCCAAAGAAGCTCCGGGTTGTTGGCGTGAGTCAAATTGCCGAGGTACAAATACGACAAGATGCGGCTAGGGAAGGAGCCATCCATATGATGAAACCAATTTGGGTACCAGGTTCCTGCGATGTCCGTAGCATGGGCCTGAGCCACTGGACTTTCCTGCAAGAGGCGTTCCTGAATATGGCATAGGAATGCAACGTCTGTCGGGTAGGCAAAGAAGTTTCGCTTCTTGTCGCAGTGTAGTCTAAGCCACGCTTCGTGCGCGGGCACGCCTTCTGCGAACATGAAGTATGCCACTGCCAATAGAGAGGTTTCGGTATATCCATCACCACAGTGGATTAAGATCTTGCGTTGTTTCCCGCTTGAGCTAGCCATTGCGACGTCGCTGTCGGTGTCATGCTCACCCGCCGGGGTTTCTGGGTGTGCGAGATAGTAGATCCACCTGATAGTGTTGACAATATCCTCGACCTCACGGGTGTTGCCTGATGGGAGGACAAGAGATCCTGATGATGGGAATTCCATGCGCTGAGGGCCGGTCTCAAGTTGTCTGTCGAGCTTGGCTAGATAGCGGGGACCGGGGATGTTGGCTAGGTCGGTTGCTTCGATTAACAAGTCATATGTTTCCTCTTTGGGCAGTGGTGCCCCAGACATTGGTATGAATTCTGGGGTAGATCCCAACCAAACATTGGCCGAGATCTCCGATGCTCGGGACATGTTACACATTTCCCGTCGTTCCCAGTGGGCTGCATATTTGTCAGGCAAAATAATTGCATTCGTTTGTTTCGTGACTTACCAAAATCCATCGTCCGGTCAGTTGATTGACCTTTCGAATCGACAGCTACGATCTCTGGGTGTTCTCTCTCGAGTTCCGAAAACGGGGCTGGGTATGTCAGCTGGGCTCTGGTATACACGAATTTTGTGAACTAACTGGCAACAATGAAGGTGTTGTAGGTTGGTCTCTCTTGCAAGGGATCCATCTTCAATCTCCAAGCATGCTGCGCCGTCGCAAACTGATCTGCCAGTGCAACAAGAGCAGCCTGGCTGCTGTCATCCTCGGCATACAAGACAATATCGGACATGGCGGCCAGCTTGGCCGTCTGAATATGGAAGTTGCGTACTGAGAACCCCTCCTGCGGATCGGCCATCAAGAAGCGGGAGGAAGGTGCGATCACCTCATTAGGGCTGACGGCGCCTTTGATACGCGACCTCGACAGATCACCCCCCAGTTTGACCACAGTCAGGCCCCGCCAGCATTTTGGTGATCGGCGCGAGTGACGTTTGCGACTTTGAAAGAAGCCTAGTTGTAGGTGGTTCTCGGGATGAAGGCCATGTAGCCAAGGGAACATCTGCGATGGGTCGGGCAAGGGTTGCGAAGCCTGGTGGTCCATTGCAGCGGCCAACTTGGATGCCTCGATAGCATACACGGCAGGAGACGGAGCCCGTCCAATGCGGAGTCGTTCATCTGGGGGATACAATAACGATGAAGGCTGATCAGACCGAGCCACCGGAGATGCCGGTTGAGGAGGAGTCGATGGAGCTGGGCCCGGTGGGCATACTGGGATATGTTTGTTCGGGATGGGACTCGGTCGTCGGTTGACAGTCAAGGTTGAGGGAAGAGGGGAGGAAGGAGGGGTCGAATGGTGCAGCGAATGCTGCTGGACAAGCACGGTCGCCATCAGATCGGTTGTCCCACTAGTTTGAACACAGAATCACAATCAAGATGGGTTGGGCTATAACAACTTTGGCAGCTTCAACAGCTATCACATCGTTTGCGCCCGAATTTGATGGGTTTCAGGTGATGTGGATCAAACACGATGATCACAACTGGGGCGAAGTTGTTAGAAAACAAACCGGGAAATGAGGAGATAAGAAGAAAAGAAGGGGGACATACGAGAGGAGCAAGGGGGGAGAGGAATGAGAGGAGAGAGTGAGATAAAAGAGGAGATAAGTGTGACAAGATTCTCACCCTAGAGTAGAGTGTCTAGAAGAACTACGGACAACAATGTCTATAGTACTCTCGTCATCATCACTTATCGTCATTCCCCCAGAGTTCCGCCCGTGGTTCCACCCACTCCACTTCAATATCAAATTACTTTCCGGAATGTACGGAGTACAACTTGAGGAGAATATACCCACAGGGATTCTGACCACTTTCCACTTCTTCCACCCCCCGGCGCGCTATGAAAGTCTATTGGGCATCCACGGACGACTGTGGTTCGGCGCATCCAATCATCGCACAAAGTAGGTTTGGATGACGCTGAGATTCTTTGATATAAGTCTCGGTCCAGTCCAGTCTGTGCGTCTGGGGAGGGGGGTTTCAGGCCCTAGATCAACTCCACTTGCACTCTTGAAAGTACGCCTTAACTTACTCCCAAGAATACGTCCAGATATGAGGATATGAAACCCCGCTCCTCTCTCCCCTCGGAGTAGCAAACCCCTACCAGCCGGAGGTTGAGCCAGCAGCTCGTGTCCATGGGTAGTCCAAAAGTCAATTTGAGAGATAGCAGAGTCCTGATGCATCATACTTAAGATGTGGACGGGGATCTCTTTGCCTCTTGAGATACATCGAAATTACTCGTCATCGCAACATATATTCGAACTCTCGAACAATGCATTCCCTGTTCATATCAGAGATCATCAAAAACGCACAAAAGTACAGAGACGCACAGGGAACTAACCCCGGATCGCCACTGAGCTCCACTCGAGTGGAGAGTATCCAACGCGATATACATCCCAAGCCCCCCAATCGTAAACAACCGCCCAAATCGGTCAACAGCCAGGCCCAAAACATCAAATCCAAGATCATCTGGGCATAACTGTAGACTGTAGTACAGACGACAAGTCTGCCCAAGAGCCAAAACAGCAAATCTGCTACCTGACGTTGCCTAAAACATGCCGATGTACCTCAAAGCATACCGTGCAAGGTCGCACCATTATCTTTCGCGTATCGCTTGCTATTTCACCCCCTCTGTGACCCTCATTGGCTAGCAGATACATAATTCCTGAACCGGCAAGGTGTCAGACGCAATCCGGTTCTGCTGATCTTGCCTCGATCCTTTATAGGCCATCCCCCAGAGATCTCGGCACAGGTTAACCCTTGCCGACTGTAAACGAGAAACCTTGGCTACTTCACAACGCTTGCTAGTCTGCTTTGCTCATGTGCGTGTAACTAGCTGGATGGAACGGGCCCGAAATCAGGGTTGGAAGCACTGCACTGCTGTGATAGACTGTATGCCTACCTCGCCCCGATCGAGCCTGCCTCGGGATTTCTTCTCTTCGATTTTCTTCTATTTTCTTTCCGTTTCTCTCAACCTTAGGCGATAGAGTGGGCTCCCAGCCTGCCGGAAAGCGCCCAGGTGGAACTCCACCAGCCGGAACGTGCAGGAACTGCACACCAACGGGCGGAAACAGAATGATCGGCCTTGCGCGCGCGCCTTGAACTCGACGCTAACAGGACGCGTTGGCTGTCACCTGTTCCCCAGTCAGGATGTTTCGTTTGCGTCTTTGCCACCTCTTCTGGTTTGATCTCATACCCTCATACCTTAGTGGTGCCACATGGTGAACCACGGACGTGGAGCTAGCTATGCACACGTCTTCCTCGTCAGCCAGCGAGCACTGAAACTACTTTAGATCGCAGCCTGAAGAACTCAGTGGGATGCGAAGTTACGTTGCTTAGCGGTTACTACTGCCTAGTTCATTTGATACAGGTACTACACTTATATACCAACTCCGTACCGAAGGCCAACCATATGCGTGAAACCTACCCGACTCAACCCTCCACCGGGAATATAGAACAACGACCTAATCGGGGCCCTCTCGGCAAATCCCTGGGCCACGATGTCGTGTGAGGCGGGTAGCTGCCGTACCTTGTTTTCGCCGTCGCTTGCGAGGTATTTTTCTTTTGGCACATGGGCCGATATCAAACCCTTCGAGAATTACCTTGGAATAGTAGAGTTCCATTGTTGACACGTAGCTTGTGAGGCCCGTGGCTGGTAACCCTGGTTGGGTTTGTCTTGGATGTTCCGGGGGCGCTGGGCATGATTGTAGGGCATAGGGACAGCAGTGTATGCAGGGTAGATAGGGCGTCTTGCTTCGATTTCCCTGCAGTATACAGACAGGGCTTTCTGTCGGCCTTCTACACCGCCGATTGGGATCTATGCATGTTGTTGTCGGTGATTGAAATGCAGGGATTGGGCATGCGATGTGGCAGTCAATATCCAGGATTCGGGCCCAGCTGTTTCAAGCGCTTATCGTAGAATTAGCAAACGCCATCGGGCTACCATACATTGCAATGAGAACTGCGATGATGCCTTGTTAATGCAACAGACAGCTTTGACTAATTACAACACACCTGATACATGACATCGAACGATACCAACCCTAAGACAAGTTGCGTAAGGGCTTCCGGCAAGTCTATACCGTCGGATCCTCATTACCAAGTATGTATAAATGACTTATGGCCCCCTCTCTTTTGAAGAATTCGAGTTATTGCGAGCTTCGTTCCTTTTCAGTTTGGTGGGGGATGTAAGAGAGCCTTGGGAAGATGGCTCTCCTGCAAATCTCATCGAAGTCAACCAATTTATCGAGTCGGAAACCACTCGTGCCTACCTTTCGACCACCTCACCTCACCTAGGGCCCTTTCAAAGGGACTGTTTATATCATATACAGCCACTTCATAGTATGCAGGCCACCTAGATCTGGTAGCAATGGATGCGCCACCCACAACTCACTGTTTACGGCGGGGGCATGGAGGGTAGATTTGGGATTCACCAGAAGCTCTTGTCCACTTTTGCATGTCTCCACCTGAGACCTGAGATCACAGCAAAGCCACAGCTCATGTCTCTAGTTTATGGTCGTCGATCGCCGTTGCAGTGTCTCGATAGAAAAACGAAGGATGGAAGCCTGATCGCAGTGGCTTATCTACGTCACATGGGAGGTAGCTAGGTAAGAACCGCTCGTTTGCCTAGTGAAGACAAAAAGTTAGCAACAGCATTTCACTTTCTCATCTATTCGCAGAATAACATACCTCACTGTAGCCTCAGTCTCAGTCCAGAGTGAAGTCAAGGCGATAACCTTGGAAGTGCGTAGGCGGTGACAATCAAGGTGTGGCCCAAGCGCAAACCTCTCGCTTGCGACTTTGTCCAGCACTTCTCGGATATCAGATTCCCTCTTCACCGCCTCGTCTGCAAAGCTTCTCAGTTAGTTCTCATCCCAAGAGATGTTACGGAGCCAGTGACGGGCAAAGAGTTGCTGGTTCTGCCCACATCGCTCGACCTCGCCCTAAGCGGGGTATCTCCGACGCTCCGAAGGTTGCCTGTATCTTATTGACTTCCACCAACCTGCTGTCTTCTTGTCAAGATGGCCATGAATTTCGTGACCTTTAACCAGGACTACAGCTACCTGGCTGTGGGTGAGTATTTTTCCGGGGCGGACTGGGCCTGCACTGTTTACTTTGGGATTATTGTTGACCGCATTTTTAGCAACATCAAAGGGGTTTCAGATCTTCACCACTGAACCCTTTGCCAAGAGTTATGAAGCTAAGGAGGGCAATATTGCCGTTATTGAGATGTTGTTCTCGACTTCTCTCGTTGCTCTGATCTTGTCTCCAAGGCGCTTGCAAATTCAAAACACCAAGGTACGCAGAAATGCTCTCGGTTTACTAGCCTGTGATGATGGCATTTTGATAGACCTTGGACTAACCACCGGCAGCGACAATGCACAATATGCGAATTGACATTTCCAACAACGGTCTTAGCAGTGAAGCTGAACCGGAAACGGCTTGTTATTGTGCTTGAGGATCAAATTTATCTTTATGATATTCAGACTATGAAGCTTTTGTCTACCATCGATACATCACCAAACCCTAACGGTAAGGGGCTTTACTGTCATGTTCCTTTTTCCGGGTTTACTGACAATTTAACAGCCATTTGTGCCCTTGCCCCATCGTCGGAAAATTGCTACATGGCCTACCCTCTTCCACAAAAGGCACATGCAGCTGCAAACCCACCAGCTCATGCTCCACCCGGAACAACACATATTGCTCCCACGACAGGTGATGTTCTCATTTTCGATGCAGTCAAGCTAGAAGCTATCAACGTAATCGAGGCGCATCGTTCTCCTTTGGCCCTTATTGCGCTGAACAGTGACGGAACATTGTTGGCCACTGCATCTGATAAAGGCACTATCATTCGCGTGTTTTCCGTTCCAGATGGCCACAAGCTGTATCAATTCCGACGAGGCTCCATGCCATCACGAATCTACAGCATGTCTTTCAACACCACCTCCACTCTTTTATGTGTCTCATCATCCACCGACACCGTTCACATTTTCAAGTTGACTCAGCAAGGACCATCATCTGACGGCTCTTCATCACACTCTCCACCGGGCCGTGACCAAGCTTCTCCGCCTTATGGATATTCCCCAGAAGATGATGAGATGGGCGGGGATGCTGGCTCTGATGCATCGCGAAAGCATAACGGTACACTGATGGGGATGCTACGTCGGACTTCTCAAAATGTCGGAGGTGCGGTTGCAGCCAGGATGGGCGGCTATCTTCCCAAGGGAGTGAGTGAGATGTGGGAGCCAGCACGCGATTTTGCCTGGATTAAGCTGCCCCGTGCAAACCAGGGTCCTGCTGGAAATGGAAACTCTGGGCCAATCAGGAGTGTGGTTGCTATGAGTAGTAATACTCCTCAAGTCATGGTTGTGACCAGCGATGGCAACTTTTACGTCTTTAACATTGATCTGTCCAAGGGTGGAGAGGGAACTTTGACGAAACAATATTCGTATGTGGATATGAATACGCCATTTGATTAGATTCATGCTCATCATTTTGCTACAGGGTTGTCGATTCAAATGACAGGTTAGGGTATGCGGCGGATTACTGAGTGTGATCCTCTCTTGATTGGGTTTGAAAAGAGGTGAAACACATCAATTTAGGTCAAAAACCTATGCATATCTGATTCTTTTCTTATCAAACAACCCGAACTCCAGCCTGCCACTTGAAATATCCAAATTTACCAAAGTCTCTCCTCTAGACGAGAAGAGCGTCGTTCTCGTTCATCTGGGGTGTTCACTCCATCGTTTCCTTTGTTCGGCATGGCGTTGACTGCTCCGGTACTGAGCTCGGTCTATCTCGACTCTTTATTTCCCTCTTTTCTGAGCTTTAGCGTCTCAATACTCTACTTCGGCGTTTTCTTTCATGCGTTTCGATGTCGTACATTATTTTCCGGCGGGTCTACGGCGGGTCTACGTCATATTTGACTGGTTAGTTATTTTTATATTGCTTGAAATTCAAGATCCCATCGCTTTGGTCCTTGATCTATGTGGCCAATTTCATCATGGCTAATCCCACGAGAAACTGAAAAACGATCGCCCAAGGAAAGGTGCAATCCACAGCGACCTGAGAGAATCTTCCAAATTAACCATCCGTGGGTCTACGAGACGTGTTTTCTAGCTTTTGTACGGGCATTTCGATGAGACCTGGCCTCAAATCGTTCAATCCGTATGTAAACGTGTATATGTACATCAACAAGAAAAGAAGTTATCCAGTTAAACCTAGAAATTCCGGCGGAATTTCTGAGGAATATTGTTCAAGACAATCTGCATGGCCTCCAGCTTTTCCAGACGAAGGGCAGCATCTTCTTCCTCGTCGTGCCTGCGGAAATGCTCAATGTCCTGAGGGTGAACCAAATCCTCCTCGGTAGTATCGTCGCCGTGGAACTTCTCGAAATGGTGAATCTCATATTCATATTCCATGTCGCCATGGTGTCCAGGTCCAAACCCGACATCGGGCAACCGTTTACCAGCGGCGATGCCGTGTAGCCAGTCCTCCTTGGTAATGAACCCAGTGTTTCCAGGATCGAAGATATCAAACACCGCCTTCACGGCATCTTGCTTCCGAGCTTCACTTTTATCGGAATTGGATTCATCGTCGATACCATATGTCTTGCGGACTTCGTCATGTGTCCAGAACCCTGATGAATCGTAGTCGTGCACGATAAAGAACGAGGGAGCGTCGAAGCCTTCGATGTGATGTTCCTCTACAGAATGCCATGTCAGAATGCAGATTCCAGATCCGAGATCATAGCCCCAACACTGTCTTACCCATCATGTGTCTCGTGGCCCAATCATCGGAAGGAGCTTTGTCGTCTGAATGTGAGCCATGGGCATTGGCAGCGGAGCTCAGCGCGAGTAGCCCGGCGGCGAAACCGAGTAGCTTGTGTACCATTGTACTGTATAACCGTAAGAAAAGGAGACTCGTTCAAAAAATTGTACAGATTTAGATTAACTACAAACATCCAACGGTGTTCAGATGCAGCCGGGGGAGGTCTTAGCTTGTTTGCTGTGTTTGCACCGGATCCCGATATTTGCGGATTGCACGATTATTTCCGCATCGCATGTTTCCCCGTTCATCGCCATATACCTGCTGCTGCCGACCGGGCTCCGAGAGGAGTCCAATCCATTGATATTCGCTGACTTCGCCTAAACCATTGTTTGCTAGCGATGCCCTGAGAATGCAGGGGTTGTGGTCCCGCGCTGTCTCGAAGCAGTCGTCCTGCCGCTGCGTCGGGTGTTTGAGCACCACTGCCAATGGTGTCAGTTCGAGATCGGCTACCGCTGCCAGTAGAAGAAAGCTCCGAATTGGTAACTCTGTCACTGCATTATACACCAGCATCTTCGCCGCTGCCGCCCTTGCCGATGCCAGCGTGAAGGATCGACGCCGACATGACTGGGACGAAAAGATTGCCGCGGTCAAGGCGGAAGTGAGCGAATTGGTGGACGAGGAACAAAGGATTTTGGCATCGCTACAATCTCGAAGGGAGAATCGAGGCCTCAATCGTTTAATGCAAGTGAGGGGGTTGGGTTCTGTTTCACGATTCCCGTCCGGACTTCAATCCCCGCCGGGCTTGAATCGTTCTCTGAGATCTTTCCATACTGAGCGAAGACGATTGAATGCCGCGAATGCTCGAATGTTAGAAAATTCGCCCGCTTTGGAAGAGGAAGATCAGAACGTCGACGAGACGGACGAGAGCGAGATCTTTGTGGCGCAGGAGACATTGCCTAGCTGGGTTCTTGAAGATGATCTTCGTCTCAAGGCTATACAGAAACTTGCCTTGAGGCAGTTTGCTATTCGAATGTTGCTACGGCCTGCCATTGCCCATCGCTATTCTGGCGTCTCGATGAATTACGCGGCGGACTTCGAGACTCCCCAGGTCAATGTTTCCCAGCTCCTTGAGGAATTGAATACCATTCGACACCGCATGGTTGCATTGAAGACACAAAGAGATGCGGCATTCAGCGATATCACCAAGGACTATGCTGCGAGTCAATTGGGCGAAATGCAAAGAGAGCGCGAGATCCTTGACTCAGAGCTCACCAACGATATCCACAGTTACACCAGCCAGGAGATGTCGCTTCAGGAATTGCTTCTACGGCTATCTAATAATATCTTGAGTTCAAGAGATCCAGAACGCCCCACGGCTTTCCGACTCATGATCATGGCGTTCACACGAACCCGTCAAAATGACTTGGTTGAGCTGCTTCTGCGCACATTATTACCGAACCGATTCTACCTCAACCCTTCCCTCGTGATTACGATCATATCTTTCTTCAAGAAGTCAAAAAACCTCAAGGACTTTGACTTGTTCTTGAAGATGCTCGGTGGAGAAGGATATTCTGTGAACTTGGGGAGTAGAGGGACTTACAAGCACCGAAAGGTCAATGGGCTAGAAATTATTGTTCCTTCGTTGAACAGCACCAACCCGGTCATCTATGCCAGCTTGATTGGTGCGGCATTACGTTTCGATCAACCCCAACGAGCCGACGCTTGGCTCCAGGCTGCGCGGAGTGGGGGTTTCTTTGATAGTTGGGAGACTCTTTTCACATACCTCCGCTTCTACAGTATTCGCCGAGACTGGGAGAAGGGCACCAATGTGTTGAAGAGAGCCGTGACCTACCTCGTGTCGTCAACAGATCATCGTATTGATTCTGTCGAGCGATTACTAGGAAGAATGGTGGGCCTCTGCGATTCGTGCGATCGACTCGATGCATCAAATGAATTGATAAAGGCTGCAATCCACAGTGGATTTGATCCCAAACTCCTATCTCGGCAGGCGGATATGGCACCTTTCGTCAATCATGATCTCAAACGATGGTTTGCAGCTGCCAAGTCAACACCAAAGGAAAACATCAACCGTCCTGTGTGGCAAAAGTGCTACGACTTCGGCAACACCTTTGGTGAATATCTAAGCCAACTTGAAATCCCCTCAGAGACCACACTCGCCCACCAAAATGCCAGAATGGCCGAACAGCACGCAGACAATGCCATGTCCACCGCCCTCGGACACGGCCGAGGAAAGAATTCCAAGTCTACCGAGGACACGCATGCCAAAGACATCTCCACCCTCAAAACCGAGGTTGCACAACTCCGCGAGCTCGTTTTTGAACTACGCAAACACCACATCTCCGACTCCTCTACAAATGGCTCCTCTTCTTCCGATTCGAAGCGTGAAACCCCGAACCCTATCCCCGCCTCCAGCGAGACCAAACCTCCCATCAACATCTCGACACCGAAAACTCTTCCCATAAACCACAAATTCGCTCGAACCGCGGGCTCTATCACGCTTGACAGATCGATGTCTACCTTGTCTCCTCAGATACCCCCCAAACGTAAGACGAGGCAAAACAAACGCGCTACCAGGGCATCTGCAAAGACGGCTGTTGCAGACTCAACAATGCCTACTCCCACTGAGGCATAAACTGTGTTTACTTGGAAGCATTGGAATACACAGACTTCCAGCCAGGAACTGAATCTTGAACCTGTTCAGTGGGACCTTCTTGTATATTAAATGATTACCCTTACCGTTGTTTTGAATAGAGGCACAGGAGTAACTTGGGCAAAACACCAATATATCTCCCACATCCTAAGGGCATTGGCGGCGCCGTGCATCATACAATTGAAAAATTTCAGAATATTAGGTAGATCCCTTAAATCTTCTCATTCTTCTCCATTTTAAGAACGTCGCTGGGTTCTGTAGCATATCAAATCTTAGAATCTCAGAATGTGTATCGATCTATTTGTACAATTGCAGATCTAGAAAGGTCTCAAAGAGCATATAACAGGGGGAACAGCCACAGAGCGTGATATAACACAAGAAAACAGGCGTTTTATTCAATGCATTGGCATCATAAGAGAAAGCAGAACGGCGCAAAACGAAAGCATATCGTCCATGATTTTAGGCTGAGAATATAAAGCAAATTGTCTAGCGACGCTTTTCAGCGCGCATCTTCTCCTTGCGAATGAGACGCTCGGAAGCCCGGGTGAGGGCAGAGCGGATGTCGCCCTTGGGGAAGCTATTAATGTCGTAGTATGTAGGAGCAATGTCCTGAACAAGAACAGTCAGTAAAATGAACATGTGGTGGGAAGATTTGATGGGAAGTCTTACTAAAAGCCACTCGGGCTTGACCGCGGTCACGGTACGGATATAGTTCTTTGTTGTGAGGACGAACTCGTTGTAGAGGACCCACTCGGCCTCGTGGGCCAGCACGGTGGACGGGTGCAGGAGAACGTTCTGGTTATCCTTGATGGTGAGGTACTGGCTCTTGCCACCGGTGTCCTTCTTAGCGACCTGCATGAAGAAACCGGCACACAGGGCGCGACGGATGTTCTCATAATACTTCTTGTCCTCGAAAGGTGTGGAGATCATCTCCAGATCCTCGCGCTCCATGATGCGGAGCAGTTGCGAGCGCACGTTATCGGCGGACTGGAGGGATCGCAGTGAGAGGAAGTGATCGTGGCACCACTGCTTGGGGTT